CGCGGGAATATCGTAATTAAGCAGTTCGCTCCGGTTACAGATGATAAACTTGTTAGGCTGCCGGCTGTTGTAGACAGAAGCAGAATTACTATCTTCCAAAGTAGTCATAAACACAGCATTCCTCACAATCACTCATGCTTGTCAAAGATACGGCTTGGTCACCTGTTTTTCAACCCAGTGGAACTAAGTGAGTCAAAAAAAGAACAGGTAGTCGTCACGCCCACGCAGTCACGTACAGGGGTTCTCGTCGCAGACTTGGTGAATATTGAATATTATGTTGTAACTTGTAAGCTTTGAAGATTTTAATCGCATTGTTAGGTAACATACAGACGTTCACTCTGTGTTGCCCGTGTAAAGAAAACGTAATCTTAATGGTCTGACGACTGGCAGTGAGTTGTCATTTTTATCAGTTAAAAGATAGTTATATTATGAAGATGAGTATATTATAGCCGTAAATCCATCTACGAGGTTCTTCAGAACACTGTTAAATTGTATGACGAGGCCGGGAAGGGCAGGCTATTCCTTCAATTATTAACAGAATATACTGGCGTTTGACTGAGCGCATATGACGAACATTCAATTCAACATAACATAGTTCATCTCTCTTCAATATGTTGTTATGAACCCGTCTAAAATCATCTGGGTAAATCAATAATCGATTTTTGGAGATTAACAAAATTAAAAACTGTGCTAAAGCGTTTGTTGAATTCGTTAATGAACATGGAAGTATTTGTACACTCTGGCCGAAATCTTAATCTCTGCGTGACATTGTTTATAATAGATTAGTGTTTGGCTGTAGTGCTATCGAAAGAAGTCGTCGAAAATCAACCAAACAAGATGTGTACAAGATACGCGAGTTTATTTCTAAATTATCTGAAGATCAAACTTAGGGTTTCTCCAGTTTCAAAGATATGAATCTTAGTTTGAAGCCAGAATACTGATCATAACGATGTCATCAACTGCTATTCGAGAGTTGAATGAAAGTAGTTGTCACAAGCGAAAAATTCACTTCAACCCCTTCTTATTTGCAGAGTATCAGTGGCAGTTAACTTCAATGCGCGCTTGTAAAGTTCTTGATATGACTATACATTTTTAAAGTAGCAAGGTCACTAATAAAAGTTTTAGTGCGTCGTTGTGTTCATAAAGTCGTTCGATGTGGCCGCAGCTGGTTTGGGATTTTTAAAACGCAGTGCTAGTTTTGTGATCGTCGATTTGTAGTTCTTTGTCTGAAATCATATGTTTTCAGGAACGTTCGGTAATAATGCCGCCCACGCTGTCATGTTCACCTGACAACCGATGACGTCGATTAACTTGCGCTACAAATTTTAGAAGTCGTTAAATTTAACTCAGTCAAGACTTTAATGACTAGCTCTTATATGATGGTCCTTGACCCAAAGATAATTTAGTATTTCATCATTACTTCATGGATAATTTTAATAGCATGGTATGAAGAACTAATAAAGATCCAATTCCTTCCACAGCATGATGTCTCCGCATGGTAACCTAATTGTGATTTTTTATAAAACCGCTACTGAGACCCAAGTTAATCAGTTATCAACTGAGCTATTTTGCGATTGAATCCAAAACAAAACCTAGTGCTCACTCATAACCTCGCTTGACAAAAATAAATTACTAATATGGGTTTAAAACGCCTGGGTTCTGTCGAAAATGCCTACCATCTACTTTTGCAAGTTATGTCAAAAATTTTATTATAATGATCTCACTTGCTTGGAATTTCGATCAATAAGCGTGACATAAAATTTTATATTCTCAACTAAGCGAATTTTTTGAAACTAATTTAATGAGTCATCGGCCAATCGTTGCCTAATAAAATTTAAATTCATATTTTTATGTAATAATAAATTCAAGTGTTGAAGTTTTGGACACCGGTCATATAGTCAATTAAATTAATGGCCCCATCAAAACATACCTGCTCTAAAATGGCTAAAACAGTGCTTGGCAGCAAATATATAAAAATATTACCCTCAAGGAGCGTTTCGGATTTATTAAATAGTGATTTCAAAGGAAGTCCCATATTTAACCTTATTTCCAAACGACGACAAAGTGGAGGTGATTCTATTATATCTTTTACGCGCGATAACTATATTTTTTTGCTTCGTGGGTGCTGTCGAGCAAAAATGTTCAAAACTATAAAAAACTATATCCCTATAAATTCTTGTAGAACATATTCTGTGCTTATAATTTGTCTAATTGAGTTTAAAACTGCGACTTGATTTACTCTTGGTACGATTACATTTCATTTGCAGTGAAATAAATAGATTTAATCCATAATCAAACATTATTTTTATACAGTGATTGATAGAATACTTGCGAATTAAATTAGCGGAGTTAATCAGTCTGTGATAATTATTGTGATTAGGATTATCAACAAAAGGCTTTCAACGTTTTTCTACATCGATTGCGGAAATTCTGAGCAGCCATGAGCACAACAACACCAATGGAAACAACCGAAGGGTCGGCAGATGGTACAACTACAACGGTTTCCGACAGTGGCGGACTAACCACAGAACAAATTATAATAATAAGTGTAGTTGGTGGGGTGGTTTTATTAACAATCATTGGAATTCTTATATATTGCTGCATTAAAAAAGTTAAAAAGAAGAGAGCTTTAGAAGGAAAATACAGTCCTTCTGCCAACGAAGAGAAAGGCGGCGTGAGAATGGACGATATGATGACGGTTATGCAACCACCGCCACCAGAAAGACTTATCTGATTTATACTCTTCTGAAATTAAAGCCGTTTATCCGTGCTGCAAAGCACTTCGTCAACAGACGGTATGACAGGTTGGTTGGAGGGATTTGTGTTTATTTTACTCCACACCACCTGCAGGAGATAAATTCAAAAGAATTCGGTTCCGTAATTTAGAATAAACCGAGGGATCCAATTGCGGGTGCTATTAATCGCTATTTATTCAATTCTGAAGGTACATTTTCAAGCCCCCATATCATGGGTTTGTTCAAGAAACAATCGTCATTCTTGGGATATACTTCGTCAGATAATAGGCACCAGGACAATTTCTATGCATTTAATTTTCCGCTGTGTTCGGTACCTCGCAGACGCAGCATATTCTATTCTTTTTTTTCCTATTTCAACGTGACTGCGATAAAGTATAAGCCTGACCGCATCAAATTAGGCGGGCCGATATGCTTTGAACGGTGCTTAATAATGCCAATATTTTAACATTGTTTTTCGTTCCATTCAACTTCTTTTTTCAAGTATTATTATGTGCGTTATTTTTACCGTGGGAATCCTGACTGTAGGACCAAATCTTTTTTTGCCAAATAGTCATATTGTGAGATAGGGTTATTTAAATCTTTATATTGAGGACTGAGGTACATTACAGTTTTAAAGTACAAATTCAGCGTTTTGTCAATCAACTGAAAATATGTTTACCTAAACTCACGGAAATGATTTAATCGAAAATGTTTATGTACAGAAATTAGAATTGCAATTTCTGATGGTTCATCTATATGTTTCAACTTTACCAAAATTTAATACCTAGTTTGTCACATTCAAAACTTACGGAAATTTGCTGCAAATCAAATATGGTTACTTTAAGATGCAACCTTGAAACAAGTTTCATGGTTATGGGGCAAAATTTTCATTAATTTGGTCTGGAATGATGTTCACCCTTTTCTGACAATCTTTTTTTTATAAAGATACGTTAAAATATCTTGTATAACCTATCAAATGTGGTTTCTTTTAAATTGTTCTTTCTGGTCTTTGAAATTTGAGGTTTCTAGTTTATATGAAGGTCATTTTAGATGCATATATATCAGAGCGAGAGGGACAAACAAGCTGCGCTCGAATATAAGTATTTTCATTCGTCCGACCTCGAACATTTGAAGTTATAACCTCTCTAAAGGCCATGACAAGTTTATTGCATTTTATTGTTTTATTATTTCGATAGAATTTTATTACTATTGCTATGTAACTAACTATTAGGCAAAACAATTGTTTTTCTTATTGCTATTCAATATTATATTATGCCTTCTTTTATAACGTTTGTGCACATAGTGTATAATTTCTAAAATAAACTATAAAACAACAACTTTTGGAAATTTGATATCGTAACGCTTCTTCAGATCGTTGCTGTGCAGGATAAGCTTATTTTTTTTATGTAGTGGCACTAATTAGGGTTGTCCATCTTCGCAGCCTGAAGGTAATATTGTAGAAATATCTAGATTCTAATTCTGACTCAACTATATATTATTTGACCTGATGCCCGCAGTAAATAAGTTCAAATATTTGATTTGGTGATATGCAGTTTTCCACACAGCTCAATACTTTATCGAAATTCGGACTGTGGCCATGTAACTATGAGCTAAGAATATTTGAGCACATGGGAAATGTCAGGGGACTCGCGATAAGTGAAGCATTGCGAAGGGCTGACACTATATTATTGACAATAACCATCCCTCAGAACTTCAAAACAACGTGTATCAGACCCATAACGATGGGTTCTCAATCCAGAATACCTTGAGTTATATGTTATAACCACAACAATATCTAATTTTTCACAAGTCGCAGTATACTGTTTCAATTTGCATGATATATACTTCATGAAATTAACAAGAATCCTCTGTCTAATTATTCGTGAAGTCGGCTTTTATCGTGTATGAAGAGATTTAGCTAAGGAGTTCTCATATGTCCACTTGCCACTTCAATACGCGCGTTTGTCATTGCTTTAAGTTTAAAGTATAAACCATTCAAGACTGAGACTTGCATTCGCATAGCTATTGCACAATGAAGCGGGATGTAAATGAGCTGAAAACAGTTTCATGTACTATCGGAGGGAAGACTCTATAATGCTGTTTACCACACTGGCGCTGATTTATAAAACATCAGGCCTGAATCTTTTACTCTGTCGAAAATTGTAACGACTGAAACCGTAACTACTATTCATATTTGCATTTTAGATCAGCAATTCTTATATTTCATGAATTTGACATAAGCTCTAAGATACTTGTCAGTCCGAATATTTTAAATAAATCTTTCGTATATTTCAATTGAAATAAACTCAATTTTTATGCTCACTTCATCAATTCTAAATCCTAAATAGTGTTGTATAAATATGAAAAGGCCTGACGATGTCAATATTGCTGAACGTAATCAATGGACGAATAACGATTGCTTATCTTAGCGCTGTAAGTTTTATTTTTTTCCTGATGCGGTTCGCACTTTTCATCTTTCGATATTGCATTCGTAGAATTGTCTTGTTTTCTTTTCACAAGTTTTGTTTGGGACCTAAAAATGTCAAAAAATACAAAATTAAAGGCCCTGGTAGCGATTTCATGATTACCCGCTGACCGATATCGATAAAAATTTTCATGTTTTAATAGATTGCCCATTTCCAGTCAGCACGTTATTTTGGATAAAACCCCGACAAACAACATCATAAATGCAAGATCGGTTGTACTAAATTTATTTTAACTTTTCACCTTCTGGCGATAAACGCCAGAAGGTTTTTGTTCACAAAATAGATGACATCTACTTGAGTTCACAGCAGTATATTCTGCTTCACAAACAAGTTCTGTGCTCCAAAAGTGGAGGGTTGATTTTACCTATTGAAAAGAGTGGTAGTTGGTGTGGCAGTATCCCATCGTAAATCTTCAGCAACGCTTGCTTTTTTTAGCTTTTCGTATGGATCTGTAATAGAAAAGTAACTAAAACAACAATTATCCATGTTTTAAATGATCTGTAGCGCTTATTGCGGTTTGAATAACATTTATGCGGTTAAATATTAGTTAGATGTCGCATTATTGAGCTTAAGTATGAGGTTCAATTATAGGTATTGATAAAAACCTGGTGCTTCATCGGGGATCGGGTCACTTTTGTTGCGCTGTTCCGCTTTCCTATCGATCACCGCTTGCTTTCGGCGAGCCTCCCAATGAAGGGCAGACATTTTCTAATTCTAGTTTTATGACAATTAATAACAAAAAAAGTTTGTGATAGTTTTGCATTGAAATAATACGTTATTCTTACGTCATAATGATAACATCAAGTGAACAAGATTGAAGAATGAATCAACAACCTGGCGTTTACTTACAGTTAGTTTGCGGTATTGCTTCATTTTTTCCTTACCATCGGCATTTGATTGAATTACTTCAGAAACACAATTATCAGAAGTTAATGTAAATTATATGAATAAAACTAGGCAAATGAAACGCAGGGTGGCTCCGGAAATGAAAAGGTTAACCAGCAAGAAGAACAACAACAATTTAACAAAACGATACACAGTTACACCTTTTTCCAAAATAAAATTAGGTAACGCAATGGTGAGGTGTATTTTTCTTTGGATAAAAATTCGCGGAAATTTACCAGGTTTGGAATATTTGGTGGCGAGCACGAACCGCATCCGCGACGCACGCGCGTCTTGTGGTGTTTCTTTTTTCCTCGCACGGTTCATAAATAATAAAGAAACAAAGAAATTCATCCTTTGTGTTCGGACGCTTTGTCAGCTATCATTCGTTTCAATCGACGTCACCAACGGTCGAGCCAACCCTCAGGGCTGGGCTTCCCGATTTCGATTTTCTTGTTGTAGCGACCGTGCGTTGTCTTACGTATCTTGAGGATTCATAGTTTCGATTTTGTGCGTGCTGTAAATAACATTGTATATAACAGTAATCAAGTATATATTTCGAACAGCTTCCGTTAAACTGTAACAGTAAGGTACCGGTACGGTACTGTCTGAGTGTACCGCACGGTGTTACTTTGACAGGTTGTCTGGTTGTTTTAAATCTAATATGGTAAAACGAAACTCTAAAACTGGAGAAACAAGATATATCGCCCAGTAAAAAGAAAAATATATAAACAAAATGAAAAACAAAATAAAATTTCGCCACGCCATATTACAGTATTAATAATTTTGTAAGGATCGCCAAATTCCAGAATTCTGGAATTGGATATAACAATTTTCTGGCAGTCTAGATTTTAGTTCAGAAGTTGAAAGTGATAACAACCTGACATTATCTACGGAGTTATCTTTTGCTGACTAATTATTATTTCAGTCAGTTTTTATGTACCATATTATTGTAACTGTATTCTGGTATTAGACTAGTTACTGAGTTACCGATATGAAGCTGTAAATAGTTTTTAGAAAATGTAGGCTAGTATGAAATAGATTGATGAATGTCTGAATGTGGTTTTGGTAATTAGGATAAATACAATTGCCCGAAAATGCAACTTCTGAACTTTAAAATTTTTCTTTTAAATCAGGCCTCAGTCTAGTCCCACATGTCTGGCTGGCTTACTAATTCAGTACGGCACAGCTCTCCGATACCAAGGATAACTTCCACATTAAAAGACGTCAATTATAACTGCGATTGCAAACCTCTTCTTTACCAGACAGTCTCGGCCTCCATACCGACAACAAACGGAAAAGAAGCTCAATCAAAAAAACGTCACTATTGGATTTTTTGGAAAAAAGAATTTGATTTACCATAGATTAAAAAATAATTTTACAGTAGCATTCAACAGTTTTTAGCAAAAAAGCAATTTCGGTCATGTGACAGCCACGTCGTGATTAATTTAGATTATCATTGAGACAAGCATGGTGTGATCTGCCGTCGTGCCATACGCCCTCATTTCAGAGACAAATTGAGCGTTTGTTTTATTGAATGTTGGGACATCTTGGAATTGGAGAACTGTGACCTACTGTAATTGTATAATTAAAATTTGCTATAAACTGATATCTGGATATATCAATATTCTTCTACCAATTCAAACAGGCAGTCTGATTCTGTAATTCAAATGAAGTCAAAAAGCAGAGATGTGGTATAATTCTTTATTTGGTTTCAGAATTATTCAATGGCCATGGCTTCATCGTAAATGTATCAGGCTGCTCTTATCATCATCTCACATTTGCATGTTATGTCATTCCTAACCTTCATCTGTTCTGACTTCGTCATCCAAAAATAACGTTACTATACAGACAGTCGTCCAATACACGCAGAGGATCACCCGGAATCGAGCAAGCTATGTCGTGTACACAGCCAAATTCTCTTTCTTTTTCTCATTGTAACTATCCCGATATGCGACAGGCCGCTGGCGTTAGTGAGATCATTATCATAGACGCAGACCATTTGAGCGATCTTTGGCAAGCTCTGACTTGATCGTGACATAGTGACGTATTTCTTGGTTGGCGTAATCAGATGAGGGTTAGGAATAACATATGCAAAAATGGTTATGCCACTAAACTAAATTAGACCTATCATAGTTCTTAGTCCGATATAACGTTGATAAGAGAATGCATTAATATAATTTACTTATACCAACTTTGGTACAGTAATTGTATCTGATTATACTTCTGGTACAAATACAGAAATGAATTATGTTTTACAGCAAATTTTATATTATTGGAATATTTTAAATTTTACCTCAAAAAAGCAACTGCTCAAGCAGTAAAAGACTGCAAAATGTTCACTCCTCAGCAGTCATTTAACCCACAATACCAACCCACGACAGCAGGAACACAGCAACAGCCCCCTACAGCAGTTGCTGCTGCTCCAACTGCAGTTACCCCTCCAGTCAGACCTGCAGGTAAACAGTTTCATTTCAAATATTATTCAATACCTTATGCTTACATTTTTCAGATTTGTCTTATCTGATGTGTCCTAATTTAGGTTATGTTTGACTGAAATATTATAGCAGTTTAATGTACATTTATAAAATTAACTGGATGCTTAATTTTATTTATTCTCGCAGTTATAAGAAGTCGAATATGGTTTATTTATTTTGTCCCAATTAAAATGTTTTTGGTGTCCCATGTGATCATATTTTCTAATAAAATTGTTTTCAATTTACTCCTAAAAATAAAAAAAAAATTAGAAATATATACAAACGTTCAGATTGTGTTTCGTCTTTCTCTTTTCTAGTTATGTCTTTATTTTCATTCAAAAGTAGTCAAAATAACGCTTATTTTTGTAGTTGGGGATCCAAGGTTTCCGATTGTTGGTACGTCAAAAGCCATAGACTTCCAAGCACCAGCCCGTCCAAATGTGGGTCAGATTGGAAAACCAATCTGGCTGAAAGCAAATTATTTTAAAGTATCCATTCCTAATGGAGATATTCATCATTATGACATTGATATCCATCCAGACAAATGCCCAAGGAGAGTTAACAGGTAGTTAATTGAGCGTATATTTTTTGATTTTCTTAATTTAGTGAAGATAGAACAGTGCCAATTCTAGCATTAAATTTTGGTATTTGAACTTCTGTTGTTGTTGTTTTTTGATTAAAACAATTTTTCAACTCAACCTTACTCAGTTTTACATGTTTTTATTTTAATCATAATTGAAGCTATAAGAAATTTCGAATATTTGCTTTATTCTTCTGTTATACTGATCAGTATTCAGAATTCCTCTTAACGATTTGCTTGTTAATTTTTCTTTGTTATAGATTTGAGGTTTTACAGAAACTCAATATTAGATGAAAATATAAGTATTTTATATAAGTCCATAGTATTGATAGTTGATATTATATTATCGAGTTTCCGTAAAACCTCGAATGTTTTATTGAGTATTCTTCATTATGCATTTTCAACTTTCAGAGAAATTATTGAAACAATGGTGGGAAATTATCGTACTGCAATCTTCCAAGACAGAAATCCAGTGTTTGATGGCCGTAAAAACCTCTACACAGCACAGCCACTGCCTATTGATAATCAGAAGGTTCATACATTTTTTTTTTCATTCGAAATATATGTATAGAGTGAATATGAAACCACTTTCATAAGTTCGAAATTCTTTGAATATTTAAATTATTTATTTGTTGGGACATTGAAATTTCAACAATATGTGTTGGGTTTCTGGGTTCTAGTTAGTATTATGATGTTTTCAAAGATTATGGACAATGGAGAGTTGTATTTAAATACCCATTTTATCATATAATATTATAAAATTACTATGTTTTTGAATCTGAAGTATTTACACGATGGTAAACAATTGAAACATTGCCCTTTTTCACGAGCATTGCGTCAGAATTCGAATGAGGAAGTGTCTGCTATTGTGTTTTTGGTATATGCTGAATGTGAATGTTCACTCCAGTATCGGTTCTCTGACATTTTTTTAGAAAAGCCCCTTGTATTTATCAATGGTGAAAATGCCAGCACATAAGCTTGTCTTTTATATATTGTTTTTTCAAGAATTTTCGTATTCTATGATATCATCAACTAAAATATCTTGGGAATCGGGTCAAAATAAACCTAAAACATTGTCTGATTTTGTTTTCTCTTATTTGGTTTTGTGTCTATGACTAAGTAGTCATAGCGCATGGGGTGTGATTTTATTGACATTTTAGAAATTAAAATACAGATCGAATATTAATAATTACTTGTGTGCTAGTTGGTAATGGTTTGGGCCCTGATATTTAGGGTGTTGTTGCTGTTGTTACCACCATAATAATTAATATATTTGTTGGGAAACTTGCAATATCAAACAATCTATCGTAATTTAATTCAGTCAAATTATTTCGTCATGTGTCTTAAATCTGAATAGATTATTATCTATTCTATATTACTAGTTACATAACTGCTCAAAAATGATTTTATCTTTACCGAAAATTAAACAAATAAAATATGATCTAATAATTTTTAATATTAGTTAGATTTCCTGAAAATTTTTAGCATTGGCACATAACTGTATTGTAATTTTACTCTAAAGTACTTAAACTATATTATATTAAAATATATATTAAATATATTATATATATATTAAAAGTACTATAACAATTCTACATGACTTCTGCTGATCAATATTATCATTATCAATCATATTCATGGGATTAAAAGTGCTGATGTGATCATGTGACTGACAGTGCATAGATCTTCATTGTTAGATCCTATATAAATGAATATTGTCAATGAATCTTTATTGATCATCAAGTTTGAACTATTATTACCTATCGTGATATACAAGGGTGACTTTAAACGAACTAATATTTCTTTTACTTTTTGTTTATAGCTTGAAGTGGAGGTGACATTACCTGGGGAAGGCAAGGATCGTACTTTTCGGGTTGCAATAAAATGGTGCGCTCGTGTATCTCTCTATTCATTGAAATTGGCATTGGATGGAAAAATGCATGGAATTCCGTTTGAAACTGTGCAGGCGTTAGACGTTGTCATGCGTCATTTACCTTCCATGAAGTGAGTGTACTTGTTCTTTTATTTGTGCGTATACATCCATAGCAACATGAAATTGTCTATGGTTGTTTGGGATGGATATTATTAAAACTTGAGGTTTTCATTTTATTTGTCTACTCTGTCTAACTAAATGTTTTATTATGTTCCAATTTGTTAATATTTAACAATTGTGCATACCAACTGTCTGCCTGCTTTTAAATTTGTTTGACGGATTTTCAAAACTTAGTCCTGTAAATCATGTTTTTGAGCGTTTCAGTTTTTAGCCATTTCTCATGACAATTCATTATTCACCTTTTTGGCCTCAAAAGAAAGTGCGAATTGCTATCATTCATTCTACCTTTATATTTACGTATATAAAGATAATTTAATAAATACCGTATTTTCTCTAGATATACACCTGTCGGTCGATCATTCTTTTCATCTCCAGAAACATCAACTCCATCTCTTGGGCATGGAAGAGAAGTTTGGTTTGGTTTTCATCAATCTATGAGGCCTTCGCAATGGAAGATGATGCTAAATATTGATGGTACATTAACGTATAGCCTATATATATCCATTAATAATTGGCTTGGAATGTTATCGACCACACACTTGGAGTTTCACTCGTTAAAATTTCTTACTCGCAAATACTAGACAAATTTATTCAATTTCAAATTGTCAGTGCTTAATAAAGCTGAAGTCGCTAGAAGACTTTTATTTGTTAAAAAAAAAAATCGGGCCTGACAGAGTTTATTATTTTAGCCTATTTCAATTTGTGGGAATGCTGTTTTGACATTTGCCTTAGTTTCCATATATTTCGAGTTCAGACTTTTGAATGTGGGATTATATAATATCCATATAGTAACATATTTTTATATTTGATAGACTCGTAAGTCTGTGTGGCAGGCAAATGTATATGAGAACTTATTTATGATTTTGAATTGCTTTTTGCTTTTGTTATCATATTTTCATTGAATCTATTCTTCATTTAGTTTCTGCCACTGCTTTCTACAAAGCTCAGTCTTGCGTTGATTTCTTATGTGAAGTGTTAGAGATTCACCGTGATGATTTACACATGATTAGAAGTTTGACAGACTCTCAAAGAGTCAAGTTTACAAAAGAGATTAAAGGATTGAAGGTATTTTTTTGTCTTCTGTTCGCTTCAAAAGAAAGGAAATCCAGAAATGTAATAAATCAACTTTTTTTAAGGTTGAAATAACCCACTGTGGATCGGCAAAACGAAAGTACAGAGTGTGCAATGTAACTCGACGTGCTGCTTCTCATCAAACATTTCCATTGCAACTTGAATCAGGACAAACCATAGAATGTACTGTCGCTCGATACTTCCAGGAAAAACATCAGCGTACTTTATCGTAAGTCAACTTTCCGATTGTCTGTTGATTGGGTGATACCTGTTTGTGTTTTATAATTGTAAATGACATCCAGGATGTCTAAAATGAATGGGATAATTGAGTATCAGTACATTCATAATTGATATATGATTTAAGAAGAATTTTAGACTATTTTCATTTAAAAATCTATCATTATGATTGATCATCTGACATATGGCAACGAGGACCAATTGAAACAATGTTCATCACAACTATTCTGCATTAGTAAATTTAAGCTCTATGCATTTATTTAATAAACCCAACATGATATATTAGAATAGTTGATAATTCTGTTTTTTGAAGATATTTAGGAAATAAGGAAAAGTAAAACAACAACTTAGTTAGGTTTTTGATAATGCGGAAAATAAGCACAGCCTGGAAATTGTTTTTTTTTTCACTGTAATTGCTTTAAGTTTGTAGCATTTTTTACAATATTCTGTTTATTATGAATGTTTTTGTACTCGTTAAGGTTTCCATTCCTACCTTGCTTACAAGTGGGTCAGGAACAGAAGCATACATATCTTCCTATTGAAGTTTGTAATATTGTTGCTGGACAGAGATGCATCAAGAAATTAACTGATATCCAAACCTCAACCATGATTAAGGTATGTATGTTTGAGTGCTCGATTCAAATTAAAAAACTAAGATACCTTCGGAAAATACCCTGGAAATTCCAAGGAAAATTGGTCAAGTACTATTACAGTCTGGTTAAAGATTTTTTTTTTTGCCTCAAATGTTATGTCGTTTTGTCGTTATGAGTGCTTCAATGGAATTTCAATAACATGTTTAAAAAACAAGTAGTAGTTTATCTGCTCTATATCATGCCCCAAGCGAAATTTTAATTTGTATATTATGTAATATTATGACCAGTATAATTACGGTATGTTTCAGTATTTCATAGTTGAAGTTTGGAAAAATTTTAATAAAAAGATCATTTTACCACAACTTGAAATTTAGTTAAATCTACCTACCTACCTTAGTTTAAACTTTTGACTAGTTATAACTATTAAGTGTTGACTTTCCTGTTTCTTTTAAGTTGTTTATTTTCTAATTGTTGTGATGTTTCTAGTGTAGATTTCTGCCTAATAAATGAAATTATGTTGTTATAGGCTACTGCAAGATCTGCTCCAGATCGTGAAAATGAAATTGCCAACTTGGTGAAAAAGGCTCAATTCAACAGAGATCCTTACGTCAAAGAATTTGGCATTCAGGTAAGTGTCGTCTTGTATTCCCGTACTCATTAAAATTACTTTTGATCATCACAGTATTTATATGAACTAATGTTGGCTACAGAACTTACACATTACATGCGAATTATAATAATGATTGTCCACAAAGAAATTGCATTCTCTGACATAGATATAAATTAGGTTTGTTTTTGTATTTCAATGACTCTGAATAGAAGCAAATATCTTTTAATCAATAATACAGGTTATTGATGAAATGACGGAGGTCAGAGGTCGGGTTTTGCCGCCACCCAAGATTCAATATGGAGGGGATGTAAGTTGATATTCAATATTCGTTTTTGTAATCTGCCTATGACATTTGTATTGTACTTTAATTAAACAATTCAAATCCTTTACAGCAATTTGAAAACAGAATGCAAGCGACTCCAAATCAGGGAGTCTGGGATATGAGAGGAAAACAATTTCATGCAGGAATTAGTATTGAAGTTTGGGCAATTGCTTGCTTTGCCCATCAAAGAATGTGTACTGTAAGTATAGTTTCAGGACAATTAATATCAATAATGTGTAATGCGAGACATCTAAAACAGAACTCATTAATTCGGTAATAGTACATTGATATAGGGAATTTGAGAAAAAAACAATAGTTTTGATTTGCAGAAAAATTGAGAAGTCTGATAAATCAGTTATAAAATCACTGAAGTTTATTTGTCGTTTCATTTAAGGTATGAATAGGATTTTTCTTGCAAAGTTTCATTAACGTGTTCCTTACGTTTTTCATCTCAATTTTTACACAGGATCAGCATCTTAGACAATTTATCAAGCAGTTACAAAGAATATCCGAAGATGCTGGAATGCCAATCAAGGGAACACCGGTCTTTTGTAAATACGCCCAAGGATCTGATCAAGTTGAACCTTTATTCAGGCATCTCTGCCACGAATTCAAAGCATTGCAGTTAATTGTAGTCGTTCTTCCTGGGAAAACTCCTGTTTATGGTTAGTTCAGATCATTAAGTGGTTGATCCATAATTTCCCGGCTAATAAGTGATTTTCTGTACCCAATTATTTGGCTGTATTTTCTTAGGTAGGCTTATTAGAAATTACCGAAATAGAGGATGCCATCAATTGTCACAAATCGACTTTTGCGCGCTAAATCTTGAATATCTTTGATATGATTATTATATTTTACGTTGCCGCATTATCACATGTAATAAATCACGAAAACCGGGCACTTTGGCTTTGGCACTTGTACTGTAAATATGCCAAAGAGAGTTAGAAAGGGCATTGACACTAAAAGGGTATTAAAATAGAATCAAAAATAATTAGTGCGTCACTGACGAACCGAGAAATTAAGTAACACAATTTTTCTGCCTCTGTGTATTGGGCAGTAATATGGAGTAATCCTCTTTTTAGTGCTATAAATTGGCCCTGGCTCATTGACTGAGTTGGCTCATTAGCTGTAACATATGCTATGTATTTTGTACTTATATGTACCTACTTAAGTGGCTCTTTGTTTAAAACCAGTGATGACATTGTTATCTGGGCATATGACTCTGTTTCTTGGTTAATAATTAAAACATTTATTTTTTAGCTGAAGTGAAAAGAGTTGGTGACACTCTGCTCGGAATCGCAACTCAATGTGTACAAATGAAAAATGTCACTAGAACTTCTCCTCAAACTTTATCCAACTTATGCCTGAAAATCAACGTCAAACTAGGAGGAGTCAACAACATTCTGGTTCCAAGCATCAGGTTGGTGTTTCTTTTTTGATAATCTATAGAAAATTTGAGAGTCAAGGAAGGAATTTTAACTACGGTAGTTCAAAGCTATCAGCCTAAGGTGACACATAGTTTTAAGTTTCGATAATATTTTACAGTTACAGAGATAAGGAAAATAACCTTTTTGTTTTACACAATATATTTGCTTGACAATGCATCTTCCATGAACAATGGTGTTTTTGTGGTTACTTTGCAAATCTATTCAATTTTATTCTTTCCTATAGGCCGACTGTATTCAATGAACCTGTGATATTCTTCGGTGCAGACGTCACACACCCACCAGCTGGTGACATGAGGAAGCCATCTATTGCTGCTGTAAGCTTATTGTATTTTTTGTGTTATGTTGGTGATATTTAAATTGTGATTTTGTTTCACCATTTTTAAAGAAGCGATGTTTTAGTCGTTTTGACTGTTTTGGTTTGTAATTGAAACATGAAATAACAGAAATAGTAAATTACATACATTTAAATAGTTGAATAATTTTGAAAACAACCTGTCATTTTTAATAACCAAAGCCATTTATTATGTATTCTAACAATATATAACAGCAATATCTATTGAATTTACGGAACTTCTAGCATTTCAGTTTTATCTTTTCCATATAAGTACCACCTGGACTTTTCTTTGAACAGTAGCTCTTCTCTGCTTGAATTAAAATTTAATGTATGAAAAAATAAGACGCCTTGTCTTTTGACTGGTTAACGTCCTTGATCTTCGATATGTCTGAAATATGTTCAGTCAACTGATTCACAAATGAGAATAAAAAATAAGTAGTTTGTTGAAGCATATTTATGACAAAAACCATTTTACTCTTCTAACTTTCCATCAATTCGAAATTTGAAACATTATAGGTCGTAGGGAGTATGGATGCCCATCCATCTCGTTACTGTGCTACTGTCCGTGTTCAACAACATCGTCAAGAAATAATCCAGGATCTCAGTACGATGGTCAGAGACCTGATGATTGAATTTTATCGAGCAACACACTACAAACCTGTCAGAGTCATCATGTATCGTGATGGTGTGTCGGAAGGACAATTTAATCAGGTAATAAATAAGTCTTTCTTGAATAATTAACTTGAAAAAAAAATTTGTTCAAGAGTGTTTTCTGGCTTTACAGAGTCAAGGTCACGATTCTGAAGGCAGTCCAGACATGCAAGACTTATTTGTAGCAAAGATGACCAAAACTGAATAATAGATTATTTCGAAAAAAATTTATTATTCGAAATTATGCCATTTAGGGCGACTAAAATTGTGGTATATTCATAGGAATAAGACACTAAATTACAGAAAAGAAAATATGCATAGCCTCATTACCTTTTCTCTTTTTGATTCCTATCTGAATTTGAATGAAGCATATACTACTTAGTATGATTGTCAGGTGCCAATAAGTTTCAAAACAAGAATATCGGTCGGAGACCGAAGACTTATCGATCGAAACTGTGGTTTCGATTCATGACTCTATAGTGACACCACGTGTCCCATCACTAATTAAATATTAAATCGCTAATTAAACGACATAATTCATCCAAAATCAATAGGCTTCTGGTCCGAGATATGATGAGTGCACTTGCACATGCAAAATTTGGAGCAGATTCAACCACGCCTTCGTGAGATATCGCGTATATCTAAAGATCGATAAGTAATAACTTCTAGCGATGAAATATATTACATTATTCTAAAATCAATAATTTACAACACTGACTAAGTGAAACTTGAATGTATTCAAATAAACTATTCATTCCAGACATCTATGATTATATGTTTAAAAATGTTTAAATTTTTTGCAAATTTGCTCAAAACAAAGGTAGTAGAAGAATGATACAAGATTGCCGACTATAATTGCTATCAAAAGTATTGTACTCATTCGATTTATATTTGGCTAATCTCTCGTTCAAATCCCCTCGCTCTGGGGGATGCTAAAAAAGCGATGCCAAACCAGATAGATTTCGCTTGTAAATAAAGTAATCCCAATCATTTTCTTTTTCTCAGGTGTTGTCTCACGAACTAAGGGCCATTCGAGAAGCTTGCACCAAACTTGAGGTCGGATATCAACCAGGAATCACATTTATAATCGTGCAAAAACGCCATCATACTCGTCTGTTTTGTCGTAACAAGGAAGATAAGATTGGAAAGAGCGGAAACATTCCTGCCGGTACAACAGTTGATTTGGGAATCTGCCATCCTACTGAATTTGATTTCTACTTGTGCAGTCATGCTGGAATTCAGGTGAGACTTGAACAGACTATCGTCTCTCGCCAGCTTTGTAAAAAAAGGAAATCCCATTAATAATAGATTACACAACACAAGTCAAGTTTTAAAAAGATTTGTATCTTTTGCAATCTCGTAGAAAATAAGATTGACCTGGTATACGAAAATAGCTTTGCTAATGCTGTCACTGATAGAAAAAGAGATCTTATGCCTTTAGAAGGACAGGTCTTCATCTCAGCATAGCTTACACATTTTTATTACACACTGGGTAAATCGTGGGCATGGGTATGTCCCTGTTATTTTTAATAAATTTTGTTGTTGCGCTGTCTACTGTCTGTTGCATGTATGCATGACTGTAAAAGGTTCACAATTTTTAACAATTCAATATTTGTACCATCTATAGGGGACTTCAAGACCATCTCATTATCATGTACTTTGGGATGATAACAGTTTTACAGCAGATGATCTCCAGATACTGACATACCAGCTATGTCACACTTACGTTCGATGTACAAGATCTGTGTCCATCCCTGCTCCAGCTTACTATGCTCATCTTGTAGCATTCCGTGCCAGATATCATCTAGTCGACAAGGATTATGACAGGTAGGCTAAATTACTTTCCTAAACTATGGTTAAGGTATTTGTGAATATCGCCCAGAGGAAGCGAACATTTAGTTAAATATGAAAAATTTATACATTTATAAATAGTAAAAAATCTATGTTCAAATATATAGACACAAAATGCAAATGCCCAATATGGCCTGGCCATCGCAAGGTTAGGAAAATTCCAGTCAAATGTAAAAATTGTACTGAATGTTATTTATAAATGTAGCGAAATTTTGGGTTAAATATCAGGCATGCAGGACCCAAAGAAATTGGGGGAAGAAAAAATAATAATGGCTTTCTTCCAACTTCACCTACAAAAAACAATTCATACAACAAATCAGTTTGATAAAAATTTTAATTTCTGATTTAGTTTATATATAATATATATATATATGTGTGATTTAGCTAATTTGTGAAATAATTTGAATATATTTTAGTGATATAGCATTCAAGTTAATGTATGATCGTTTTTATAATTTTTGAATATAATTTTTTATGAACTCATTCCAGTGGCGAAGGTTCTTCTCACCAAAGTGGATTCTCTCAACACGATGCTACTGCACAATTTCAAGCGATGGCAAAAGCAGTTATCGTTCATCCCAACACTGGACGCAACATGTATTTTGCTTGAAAAAGATGTCTTTCGTTTTTTGTGCAAAAATTGATTGATCTGCCGGATCAGCCACGAAGTGCACTATAAAGAAGGCTGTATGCTACTTTTGTTTGGATTGACTCTATATCAAAAATTTAATAAGTAACCACAATCGCTCACAATGACCTAATTATTTTTGCTTTTATTATGAATATAGAATCTTTCAGCATGATCTAGTAGTAATTCTTACACATGGCCAACCTAACGTAACACGGTGCCTAGCTTATTTGTTTTCATGTGTTGTTTTTAATGTACCAATGTATCTGTGATGAGGTGACGTAATTTATTGAAACCGACTTATTTATTGCAAGCGATAAAATGCCATATTTTATACGACATCGTCCACATAGCAGGAGCAATTGCAGTGCCGTTTGAACCTGTGATTAGCTAAATTTACATTTCCATTCTTCGTTCTTCCGTTTAGTTTTTATTATGCCCAAAGAAGCCGATATTTTCTTTGTTCTCACTCGCTGTTGCCGAAGTCTAAACATGTCATTTCTATCTCTCCTTTATAGCCTGAAATACAAAACTTTGAAACACGTCAGGAAGACGTTAAAAACTTCACACATGGCACTTCATTCTTACACGATATGACAATATGCGAGCGCTAAAATAAATCTCTCTTTACTGTGTTCTTAAAACAGTGAAACAGTTTTTCTTGAAATAGTTGAATTTTGTCAACTACTGTTTTTATTTACTACATACATTTACCTATACAGACTAACAATTCCCAGGACATAAATCTGAGCGTTTGTGATATTCTCGTTACCGCAAACTTACTCAACATTCTCCAATTTTTGCAAGACTTGCTGCCTTCATAAACATTATTAATAATTGTACCTCCCATATCGATGACCAATTATTTGATCTTTGATTAAGCTGTACGTGCCAAATTGAAAACGAGTCGACTCAGAATTTTCCATTGTGTCATTTGAGATTCAAGTGTGGATGTTTTACCCCATTAATCAGTTAAATTATGGTAATTATATTCTATCGCATTCTATTTTAAAATATGAAAACAATTCAGTCATTCATTCCATGTGCTGTTGAAGATGACTGTAGAAACGTCCATTCTCAGAGCCTATATCTTCATGTAATAAAGTGCCCAAATATTTTCTCACTGATGGAAACGCTCTAGAAATTCTCTATCATTCGTATATGTGCCAGTCCGTTTGAACTAAACTAATGAAATATCTTCCTCATCGTGAATTTATAATTTTCTTCAACTAAGAGTATGTTAAGGGTGTTGTTGAGATTTTTTTTCAATAAATTTTTCAGTAAATTAGCACCATGACATTATCATTTATCATTGCAAAATAAAAAAAAAAATTTAGTATCATGATATCAATAAAAATGCAAAATTAAATCAGTACTGATTGCTTAGAAAGGTCCGACACTTAAGTCTTTTGAGATTGAGGGTATGTTACATTCTTTGTCACAATTTTTTGGCTCTTTGATGATTTGAAACTATATCCAAATTAATTTTAATTTTTAAAACTAAACGCAGCTCAAATGAATTTTAATAAAAGAAAATAACACACCTCTCAAATGCTCCATCTCATTCTCAGAAATTGTGTGATTTTATCCAGCAAATATTTCAACGCTTGGAAACAAAACTTTTTGAATTTCAACTCCTACTACAATGCTGAATTACATGTCATGGTATTTTTTTAAATTTATCTGCCCCTTGCTTCCAATAGAGACCGTTACTGTCAGATACACTTTTTCTAATTTCATTTGTGTTGTTTAAACGTAGATGCGAAAGTATGTTTGTTTCCCTAACTGCTCTGCTTATGGTTAAATTTGTAGCATTAATTTGTGCATTTATGACTTACAATTTGGTAGATTTTTATTCTTTCACACTTCAAAAGTGGCCACCCATTTGTCATGCGTTATAGCCTTCTCTAGTCAGTGGCAAATTTCTTGGTGGCATTTCCTAATTTTTGTGGAAAAATTGTGGTTCGAATTTTAGGTTGTACTTTTTCTTTATCACAAAAGCTTTTTTGCTGAATGTAAGCTTTTTTATTCCTGCTTCGATTGTTGTCACACCTATATTGGACTGATTTATTATATGTAAATCAGACATTGTGAAAATCGGTTAACTCCATGATTGTTTATCGTTGGTTGAATAGAGTAGCTAGTTGGAAAATATATGTGGCTGAGTACCGTCATTGTCAATGCTTTGAGAGAGCAGTAGCCAATATTTGATGTCCTTCATTGTGTCTTCAATTGTGTATTTTTCCATCATGTAATCTCGATTTTAGATTTTGACTAAATTTTTTTTTTCGCAGGAGTGAATGAATCGTCTTTGCTTTCTATGTCATATTATTGCAACATGTACCTAATGAAGTTATTCAATATTCATCATAACATATTAAATATTATCCCTAAATGTCATTGTCAATATAATATCGATTAACACTCAATTTAGAAGCAACACAATCAATTTTATTTGCTTTATGGCCTAATGAGAGATTGATTTTTAGATCGGTACAGCAATATTTTATTGTATTGGTTATACGACTAATACAAGGTTTGATTTTTAAATTATTGCCGCCCATAACTTGTAAATAAGCTTGAGCAAGAATTTTATGTTACATGCCTATACTAACAAAAATTTTCAGTCTTTATTTGTGCACAAGGACATTTTAAAGGTAGTTAGTTTCCTTGTCTGGAAATTAACCAGACATTATTGAAAATGTCTCCCTATTTAAATATCTGTCAATAGCACTTTACAGCCGTCGCTGTATAATTTTTCATCAGTGTAGATCCGTGATTTACTTTGACATATATATTCAATTCAATACGATGTTTTTGCTGAAAACGCACGCCAGGCAAAGTTCAAATTTCAAGCAACCCCTGCCTTCCTAAAAATGTCGGTTGCTCACTGCGCTCATCAATAAGTGCAGAGGCTTTGTCTGGTGATACGCGTTACCGATTTTAACTAGCACAGGAAGAAGTTTTTTTAGCTAAAGAACAATGATTTTATTCAATATTGTAAGTGAAAGCCCACTGACACCTTAAGTTTGCTCTTGCGATTTTAGTGCTTGTATATATCTACCTTTTAGTCATTTTTTCATCTGTATCTCGTCACGTATCCAGTAAATGTCCTTACCAAATCCAATTATACTAAACTGTTCTCAATAGGCTGATACCCACTGATATAATGAAAATATTATTTGTTAAAGTGACCAATTTTCCTATAAATCTTCCATTTGAGTCTTAACCTCGGTTATTGGTTCATTTCAAATTTTTCTGAGATTTGTTCCATTGCAATTGAATGAAATAACAATGGGTTTGTGAAAGTCTCCTTTTGAGTATTTAGTAGTCTCAGTGTAATTATGTAATAACTGTATTTTTGTGCTGTGTGTGTAATGGTAAATCATTGCTATAAGAAATCTACCATTAAAAGAGTGCCGAGTACATATGCAGAAGTGTGATTGCCTTTTTTAGTTTAGACTTGGGCGTTTCTGACGAACGAGTTATCACCTGTCAATTAACATCCGCTTTCATGCCAGACGTTTTATTTGTTTTCGGGGTATTTTCATGTATACATACACAAGAACAAGCAACTCATCTTTATGTATAAAATTATTTATGCATGACGCCGACTAAGTTTGAAGAAATTAACGATCACAGCTGTAAAGAGACGGCGATTTAGGCCTCTAGCAAACTGTTTGTATCAGGATCGTGTCAAGACAAATATTTTGGAAACGTAGTTCCAGACATATATTTGAATCTGGTTTGTTGTTTGAGTTAAACCAGATAAGGTCTCGCCCTATTTCAACTAATAAACAAATAATTCATTTTTTCACAATTAATAAAAATAAGGCAGATAAGTGTTGTCTGTATTCAATCGTCAGTCTTTCACAATTTGTCTTGCAATTAGTTCTTTCATGATTTCATTACTTCCTCCATATATCGATTTTAGGCGCGCGTCAACGTAGGCTCTTGCGATCGGATATTCCCACATGTATCCGGCACCACCAAACATTTGCTGAAATCTGTACGCTGATTTGTTATTCAGATCAGTTGCCCAATACTTTGCCATTGACGCAGTAGAAGAATCCAACTTCCCGACATTGTGGAGCTCGTTACAACGATCTATGAATGCCCGTGCAACACTAATTTCGGTTTTCAATTCCGCCAGATTGTGTTGAATTGTTTGCAAATCTGCAATGCGTTTCCCAAAGGCCTTTCGTTGTTTGACATATTCTCTCGTTTCTTCAAACATAAACTCACATGCGGACATGGAGATATTTGCGATTCCTAGTCGTTCTTGCGGTAACTCTTGCATCAATATGAAAAACCCTTTATTTAATCCCGATTCCCCGCCTAGAATCGCGTCTTCTGGAAGTCTACAATCATCAAAAAACAGTTCAGCCGTGTCTTGTGCTTTGAATCCCATTTTTTTGAGTTTTTTACCTCGGGTGAATCCTGGAGTATCTCGGTCAACCAGAACCAAACTTAGTCCATGAGCTGCCGATTTAGCTTTTTTATTCGTCAATGCAACCACAACAATGATATCTGATTGTATCCCATTTGTGATAAAAGTTTTACTACCATTGAGAATCCATCCGTTGTCGTCTTTGGTCGCTGTTGTTTTTATGCCCTGTAGATCACTCCCAGCACTGGGTTCGGTCATGGCAACTGCACCTATTTTTCTTCCTACAGTCATATCGGGTATATATTTTTGGATTTGTTCAGGAGTGCCATGATTGGCAATGTACGGCATTGCAATTTCCGAATGCAATCCGAAACCAGGACCCGGGCAGTTACAATAATATTGCTCCTCTTGTATGATGACCGCAGAGAGCCAGTCTCCGCCTAAGCCGCCTTTTTCCAAAGGAGTGCTCACGCCCAATATACCTGCCTCGCCAGCTTTAATCCAGCATTCTCGATCTATTTCTCCATCTTCTTCCCATTGAGGATGAAACAGAACAACGTGGTCTCGAAAAAATTTTCGCACAGTTGATCGAAATATATCATGCTCACTCTGAAATATTCTTCGTGTTCCAATATCAGTCAACTTTTCACTTTGGCAAGGTTCTGGTCGAAAATCCGAGGATATCGTTCTTATACCAAGACACCGGGAGGTTTTGACCGTTTGGACCAAAAACAAAATCGGTCTTACAGATGCTAACACCTTAGCCATAGAAAAGTTGATTTCTAGAAAAGGTTTGAATATTCCATAAAACATGACGCTTTGCGTTGCGAAAATGAGAGTAAAAGAAATATATATATATACCTCAACTCAAACGCACTTGGTGGAAAGAAAAAAATATGTATATATCCCTCCGGCCTGTTTCTCTCAAGCATCTCACGGGCGGCATTTAACTTGAGACGTCGGACGTAACGTCCGGTTATCCCGAGAATAATATTGAACTATGACGTGTAGTACTTTTGTGTTGAACGAGTGGACGAGTTTAGCGAGTTAGCTTTCACTAGAACAAAGGTAATGTGAGAATTACACTAGATCGAGAGTAATTTAAACGTATGACGTCAATTTTACGATTCTATATAACAAGCAATATTTTACGATTCTATATAACAATATTAAATAAGGAATAATGACTACTTTGGTTTAGAACTACAAAAAACTATCTTGTCATGATCATAGTCGCTACTGATGCGTTTGCAGACATTCTGATCATTGCCAAATCGGTAAACCTCCTCAACTACAAGATTTACTGTAATATTATGAGCTGTTTGTAAAGAAGTCAACTGAGTTTTATGAGAATACATCTGCTAAAATATTGTTAATGATTGATCACGCATTTACGCCAATGTATCTAGATATTCGTCTATCAATGCTATATCCTACAATGGGTATTTGTAATATTAACGCGGCGTACCGTATCGGCAAACAGAGAGTCTTGTATGGATTATATTTTGTTTGAGGTCAAGCCCATTTGCCGGTTACGAGAATTGAAATTCATAGGAATTCCGATGAAATATTTGAATACTCCATTAATCATAATCACACTGGAAAATGTTTCAGTTTAGTTTTGCTCTATATATTTATTTTTATTGAAGGCAGTTCTCCGCAATTTTCTTTATCGCCCTGTCTATAATAACAACGATAGAGATGGTATATATCATATATTATAGAGCCTGGCAAAAAAATTTGTGATCATTTAATTCATATCTTTTCACTGGTGGATGTGCACCATATATTGCTAAGGTCTTCTTGACCATACTCTACATGTCACTCAAAGGCTGTCAAACAATAGTTATCGCAATAATATCGAAAATATCCTTAACTTCGATATTTTATCTAGCGTGTACTGGCAGCTCAAAACTGAATGCGATCAAATAAGCGCAATATTATATTTTTCAATTTTAAATGTCGGAGAATCCCCCTCTCTTGCAGTGTTGTGTAGGGAAGTAGCTCCCAAACAAGCACTTGAAAGTGGGTTATTACGAAAAAACGTTCGTCCTGTCTTTAGTTTTTGAAGATATTAATAGCGTTTGGTGTTCATATTTTCAATAGTCTGCTAGTAATATTGGTAACCTAACGGCGGTTACGTGAAGAACCACCCTACGGCGGCGAGGAGTCCAGCAATCCTCTTGCACATAACTATCCAACCAAGTTAACCAAGCATTCAAGTTAATGTATGATCGTTTTTATAATTTTTGAATATAATTTTTTATGAACTCATTCCAGTGGCGAAGGTTCTTCTCGCCAAAGTGGATTCTCTCAACACGATGCTACTGCACAATTTCAAGCGATGGCAAAAGCAGTTATCGTTCATCCCAACACTGGACGCAACATGCATTTTGCTTAAAACGATGTCTTTCGTTTTTTGTGCAAAGATTGATTGATCTGCCAGATCAGCCACGAAGTGCACTATAAAGAAAGCTGTATGCTACTTTTGTTTGGATCGACTCTATATCAAAAATTTAATAAGTAACCACAATCGCTCACAATGACCTAATTATTTTTGCTTTTATTATGAATATAGAATCTTTCAGCATGATCTAGTAGTAATTCTTACACATGGCCAACCTAACGTAACACGGTGCCTAGCTTATTTGTTTTCATGTGTTGTTTTTAATGTACCGATGTATCTGTGATGAGGTGACGTAATTTATTGAAAGCGACTAATTTATTGCAAGCGATAAAAATGCCATATTTTATACGACATCGTCCACATAGCAGGAGCAATTGCAGTGCCGTTTGAACCTGTGATTAGGTAAATTTACATTTCCATTCTTCGTTCTTCCGTTTAGTTTTTATTATGCCCAAAGAAGCCGATATTTTCTTTGTTCTCACTCGCTGTTGCCGAAGTCTAAACATGTCATTTCTATCTCTCCTTTATAGCCTGAAATACAAAACTTTGAAACACGTCAGGAAGACGTTAAACTTCACACATGGCACTTCATTCTTACACGATATGACAATATGCGAGCGCTAATATAAATCTCTCTTTACTGTGTTCTTAATTGAGCTTGAAACAGTTGAATTTTGTCAACTACTGTTTTTATTTACTACATACATTTACCTATACAGACTAACAATTCCCAGGACATAAATCTGAGCGTTTGTGATATTCTCGTTACCGCAAACTTACTCAACATTCTCCAATTTTTGCAAGACTTGCTGCCTTCATAAACATTATTAATAATTGTACCTCCCATATCGATGACCAATTATTTGATCTTTGATTAAGCTGTACGTGCCAAATTGAAAACGAGTCGACTCAGAATTTTCCATTGTGTCATTTGAGATTCAAGTGTGGATGTTTTACCCCATTAATCAGTTAAATTATGGAAATTATATTCTATCGCATTCTATTTTAAAATATGAAAACAATTCAGTCATTCATTCCATGTGCTGTTAAAGATGACTGTAGAAACGTCCATTCTCAGAGCCTATATCTTCATGTAATAAAGTGCCCAAATATTTCCTCACTGATGAAAACGCTCTAGAAATTCTCTATAATTCGTATATTTGCCAGTCCGTTTGAACTAAACTAATGAAATATCTTCCTCATCGTGAGTTTATAATTTTCTTCAACTAAGAGTATGTTAAGGGTGTTGTTGAGATTTTTTTTCAATAAATTTTTCAGTAAATTAGCACCATGACATTATCAATTATCATTGCAAAATTAAAAAAAAAAAAATTTAGTATCATGATATCAATAAAAATGCAAAACTAAATCAGTACTGATTGCTTAGAAAGGTCCGACACTTAAGTCTTTTGAGATTGAGGGTATGTTACATTCTTTGTCACAATTTTTTGGCTCTTTGATGATTTGAAACTATATCCAAATTAATTTGAAAACTAAACGCAGCTCAAATGAATTTTAATAAAAGAAAATAACACATCTCTCAAATGCTCCATCTCATTCTCAGAAATCGTGTGATTTTATCCAGCAAATATTTCAACGCTTGGAAACAAAACTTTTTGAATTTCAACTCCCAATACAATGCTGAATTACATGTCATGGTATTTTTTTAAATTTATCTGTCCCTTGCTTCCAATAGAGACCGTTACTGTCAGATAAACTTTTTTCTAATTTCATTTGTGTTGTTTAAACATGGATGCGAAAGTATGTTTGTTTTCCTAACTGCTCTGCTTATGGTTAAATTTGTAGCATTAATTTGTGTATTTATGCCTTACAATTTGGTAGATTTTTATTCTTTCACACTTCAAAAGTGGCCACCCATTTGTCATGCGTTATAGCCTTCTCTAGTCAGTGGCAAATTTCTTGGTGGCATTTCCTAATTTTTGTGGAAAAATTGTGGTTCGAATTTTAGGTTGTACTTTTTCTTTTATCACACAAGCTTTTTTGCTGAATGTAAGCTTTTTTATTCCTGCTTCGATTGTTGTCACACCTATATTGGACTGATTTATTATATGTAAATCAGACATTGTGAAAATCGGTAAACTCCATGATTGTTTATCATTGGTTGAATAGAGTAGCTAGTTGGAAAATATATGTGGCTGAGTACCGTCATTGTCAATGCTTTGAGAGAGCAGTAGCAAATATTTTGATGTCCTTCATTGTGTCTTCAATTGTGTATTTTTCCATCATGTAATCTTGATTTTAGATTTTGACTGAATTTTCTTTTTCGCAGGAGTGAATGAATCGTCTTTGCTTTCTATGTCATATTATTGCAACATGTACCTAATGAAGTTATTTAATATTCATCATAACATATTAAATATTATCCCAAAATGTCATTGTCAATATAATATCGATTAACACTCAATTTAGAAGCAACACAATCAATTTTTATTTGCTTTATGGCCTAATGAGAGATTGATTTTTAGATCGGTACAGCAATATTCTATTGTATTGGTTATACGACTGATACAAGGTTTGATTTTTAAATTATTGCCGCCCATAACTTGTAAATAAGCTTGAGCAAGAATTTTATGTTACATGCCTATACTAACAAAAATTTTCAGTCTTTATTTGTGCACAAGGACATTTTAAAGGTAGTTAGTTTCCTTGTCTGGAAATTAACCAGACATTATTAAAAATGTCTCCCTATTTAAATATCTGTCAATAGCACTTTAGTTCAAATTTCAAGCAACCCCTGCCTTCCTAAAAATGTCGGTTGCTCACTGCGCTCATCAATTAGTGCAGAGGCTTTGTCTGGTGATACGCGTTGCCGATTTTAACTAGCACAGGAAGAAGTTTTTTTAGCTAAAGAACAATGATTTTATTCAATATTGTAAGTGAAAGCCCACTGACACCTTAAGTTTGCTCTTGCGATTTTAGTGCTTGTATATATCTACCTTTTAGTCATTTTGTCATCTGTATCTCGTCACATATCCAGTAAATGTCCTTACCAAATCCAATTATACTAAACTGTTCTCAATAGGCTGATACCCACTGATATAATGAAAATATTATTTGTTAAAGTGACCAATTTTCCTATAAATCTTCCATTTGAGTCTTAACCTTGGTTATTGGTTCATTTCAAATTTTTCTGAGATTTGTTCCATTGCAATTGAATGAAATAACAATGGGTTTGTGAAAGTCTCCTTTTGAGTATTTAGTCTCAGTGTAATTATGTAATAACTGTATTTTTGTGCTGTGTGTGTAATGGTAAATCATTGCTATAAGAAATCTACTATTAAACGAGTGCCGAGTACATATGCAGAAGTGTGATTGCCTTTTTTAGTTTAGACTTGGGCGTTTCTGACGAATGAGTTATCACCTGTCTATTGACATCCGCTTTCATGCCAGAGGTTTTATTTGTTTTCGGGGTATTTTCATGTATACATACACAAGAACAAGCAACTCATCTTTATGTATAAAAATTATTTATGCATGACGTGGACTAAGTTTGAAGAAATTAACGTTCTTTGCACTCATGAGTGCGATCGCTTTTGTAGTTTTGGAAACCTGTAAATTTTAAGTTCAAGAAAACATGCAGGGCTCTGATTGGAAATTTACACCACGATGAGCTGCGCCGATTTTTCGTCGTTTGGAAAGCAGCTTGATATTGCATTGAGTGTATTCCAAACGCTGCTTTCTGGCTAGCCATGAAAAGTATTCCGGAAAATATTTTTAATTCAGGGATATATAATATTTATTGGATTGAAGAAAAGTACAGATGTATAACTTATCATATATATAATTATTAAAAGATCGGCATCACAACTGTAAAGAGACGGCGATTTAGGCCTCTAGCAAACTGTTTGTATCAGGATCGTGTCAAGACAAATATTTTGGAAACTTAGTTCCAGACATATATTTGAATCTGGTTTGTTGTTAGTTAAATCAGATAAGGTCTTGCCCTCTTTCAACTAATAATATATAATGGTTCATTTTTTCACGATTAATAAAAATGAGGCAGATAAGTACTGTCTGTATTCAATCATCAGTCTTTTACAATTTGTCTTGCAATTAGTTCTTTCATAATTTCATTACTTCCTCCATATATCGATTGTAGGCGCGCGTCGACGTAGGCTCTTGCGATCGGATATTCCCACATGTATCCGGCACCACCAAACATTTGCTGGAATCTGTACGCTGATTTGTTATTCAGATCAGTTGCCCAATACTTTGCCATTGACGCAGTAGAAGAATCCAACTTCCCGACATTGTGGAGCTCGTTACAACGATCTATGAATGCCCGTGCAACACTAATTTCAGTTTTCAATTCCGCCAAGTTGTGTTGAATTGTTTGCAAATCTGCAATGCGATTCCCAAAGGCCTTTCGTTGTTTGACATATTCTCTCGTTTCTTCAAACATAAACTCACATGCGGACATAGAAAAATTTGCGATTCCTAGTCGTTCTTGCGGTAACTCCTGCATCAACATGAAAAACCCTTTATTTAATCCCGATTCCCCTCCTAGAATCGCGTCTTCTGGAAGTCTACAATCATCAAAAAACAGTTCAGCCGTGTCTTGTGCTTTGAATCCCATTTTTTTAAGTTTTTTACCTCGGGTGAATCCTGGAGTATCTCGGTCAACCAGAACCAAACTTAGTCCATGAGCTGCCGATTTAGCTTTTTTATTCGTCAATGCAACCACAACAATAATATCTGATTGTATCCCATTTGTGATAAAAGTTTTACTACCATTGAGAATCCATCCTTTGTCGTCTTTGGTCGCTGTTGTTTTTATGCCTTGTAGATCACTCCCAGCACTGGGTTCGGTCATGGCAACTGCACCTATTTTTCTCCCTGCAGTCATATCGGGTATATATTTTTGAATTTGTTCAGGAGTGCCATGATTGGCAATGTACGGCATTGCAATTTCCGAATGCATTCCAAAACCAGGACCCGGGCAGTTACAATAATATTGCTCCTCTTGTATGATGGCCGCAGAAAGCCAGTCCCCGCCTAAGCCGCCTTTTTCCAAAGGAGTGCTCACGCCCAATATACCTGCCTCACCAGCTTTAATCCAGCATTCTCGATCTATTTCTCCATCTTCTTCCCATTGAGAATGAAACGGAACAACGTGGTCTTGAAAAAATTTTCGCACAGTTGATCGAAATATATCATGCTCACTCTGAAATATTCTTCGTGTTCCAATATCAGTCAACTTTTCACTTTGGCATGGTTCTGGTCGAAATTCCGAGGATATCGTTCTTATACCAACACATCGGGAGGTTTTGACCGTTTGGACCAAAAACAAAATCGGTCTTACAGATGCTAACACCTTAGTCATAGAAGAGTTGATTTATAGAAAAAGGTTTAAATATTCTATAAAACATGACGCTTTGCGTTGCGAAAATGAGAGTAAAAGAAATATATATATATACCTCAACTCAAACACAATGGGTAAAAAAAAAATTATATATATCCCTCCGGCCTGATTCTCTCAAGCATCTCACGGGCGGCATTTAACTTGAGACGTCGGACGTAACCTCCGGTTATCCCGATAATAATATTGAAGCATTTCGCGTACTTTTGTGTTGAACGAGTGGACGAGTTTAGCGAGTTAGCTTTCACTAGAACAAAGGTAATGTGAGAATTACACTGGAACGAGAGTAATTTAAACGTATGACGTCAATTTTACGATTCTTTATAACAAGCAATATTTTACGATTCTATATAACAATATTAAATAAGGAATAATGACTACTTTGGTTTACAACTACAAAAAACTATCTTGTCATTATCAAAGTTGAAACTGATGCGTTTGCAGACATTCTAATCATTGCCAAATCGGTAAACCTCCTCAACTACAAGACTTACTGTATTATTATTAGCTGTTTGTAAAGAAGTCAACTGAGTTTTATGAGAGTACATCTGCTAAAATATTGTTAATGATTGATCACGCATTTACGCCAATGTATCTAGATACTCGTCTATCAATGTGATACCCTACAATGGGTATTTGTAGTAATAACGCGGCGTACCGTATCGGCAAACAACGAGTCTTGTATGAAATATATTTTGTTTGAGGTCGAGCCCATTTGCCGGTTACGAGAATTTAAATCCATATGAATTCTGATGAAATATTCGAATACTCCATTAATCACACTGGAAAATGTTTCAGTTTATTTTTACTGTATTTCTTTATCGCCCTGTCTATAATAATAACGATAGAGATGATATATATCATATATTATAGAGCCTGGCAAAAATTTGTGTGATCATATAATCCATATATTTTGACTGGTGGATGTGCACCATATATTGCTAAGGTCTTCTTGACCATACTTTACATGTTACTCAAAGGCTGTAGAACAATAGTTTATCGGAATAATATCAAAAATATCCTTAACTTCGAATGTTGATATTTTATCTATCGTGTACTGGCAGCTCAAAACTGAATGCGATCAAATAAGCGCAATGTTTTATCATTTTCAAATGTCGGAGAATCCCTCTCTCTTGCAGTGTTGTGTAGGGAAGTAGCTCCCAAACAAGGCCTTGGAGGTGGGTTATTACGAAAAAACGTTTGTCCCGTATTGGGTTTTTAAAGATATTCATAGCGTTTGGTGTTCATATTTTCAATAGTCTACTAGTTTTATTGGGAGTTGAAATTGACGAACGCTGCATGGGTTTAGAACAAATACACATATCTTCAAATAATATCATCGCATCATTAAATGAAAAAAATAAATAAACAAGAACAAGTACAAAATAATAACAAAATGATTCATATGTGTATAGGATATGTGAAGATAGGATTTTACATACATATCCCGGAGGAGAGGAAAGCGGCTTAACCATCGCCTCTCGGCGGCGAGGAGTCCAGCAATCCTCTCGCACATAACTATCCAACCCGCGAACTCACGCAGAGTAATCAGAAGTGCGGTGGCAACCGTATTACTAAAGCTTAGCCCGATTAGCCACACCGCCGCGTCGCTATCGTAGTCTTCCTGACTTCGAGTGACCAGCAGCACTCAACGTTCGCAAATCGTCACAAGGTGCGCAATTATTGGACACGTCAGTGTACATAACGATCGTTTCAATATTATGTTGTTGTTGTTATTATTCTTCTCTCTCGTCATGATGAAATCGCTTTTCTCTTTGAATACTGGACCAATTGCTCTGAAATATTCAGTGGTTAAAGACTGATTTTTTTGCCAGAAGGGTATTACTTTTACTTATTTCGAAAATTTCTGTGGACTTCAAGAGATTCGATTTTTCTGTGTCAGAATAAAAAATAGCGACACCTTGTGACGTGTCCATATATTTGAGCACAGCTCTCTTGTTAATTTTAGTGACGTCAACAGACACAAAAAAAAGGATTCCATGAAGTTCGCAGAAATTTCTGAAATAAATGAAAGTTATAGCCGTCTGGCAGCAACAGCAATTTTTAACCACTGAAAATTTCCAAGCAATTGATCAGTAATTAAAGAGAAAATAGATTGTTTTCATAACAACAGGAATAAAAGGAATTCTAACGACAACAACATAATATTAGTAAGAATGATCCACAGGTCCGCTCCGTGTATTTTAATTTACGTTGAGACCTGACGTATGAATGATCCTTCGATATATGTAGCCTACTGATATGTCAGCCGTTCTTCAATTCCAGCTTCGTTTAGGATATGATTTTTCGGAAATTGTTGGAAAAAATTCGTTTTGTCCTTATTTTTATCATTTTCAGGTCTATGACATTTTACCAAGCGAGTACAAAATTTCTCTCTGTATGTAAGTCATTGATGTCAATCATGTTCCCTCACGAATCTCCATTGTTTTATGTCTGGTGTTATGAATAATTCGTTGACCTTCAAATTGATTTTTGTCATTTTAAGCGTTTCACTCCGTGAGCATGGCCCTCATGAGCATTCACTGATGGCCACAAACAAATTTATTTTTGGATATAGTAATGAAGGTTGAAATCCTACGTGTGATGGGATACAAACGTTTCTCTTATCCCGAAAACTACACAGTATTCGACAGGATATCTTATCTTTTATATCATACCACAATTGATCAGTTCGAGGTGTACCGATTGATGACCGGTGGACTATGTTGTTACCAACAGTGTGACTGAAAAACATATTATCACATGAATATGAATTGATAAAATTGACATATACGAGTTCAAGATGACCCGGATGAGATCGACAGACAGGTAGTAATGTTCAGCATGAAACACTGTATTGTTGCATAATAATGTTCTCGCTTTTTAGTGAAATTTCCCGTTGTTCCCATCGAATCCGTAGTTCCCGCATTTTCTCGCTTTTTAGTGAATTTCCCGTCGTTCTCTTATCTCACATTATAGGATTGCCCATGAATTGAAAGTTCATTACCCAACTGTGAGTACCGGTAGGTTCATTATATTAAACTTCAGCTCTTAATTGCCTGTCTGTTTGAGTTTTCTATGCCTATATATTTCTGTTTTGGAATACAATATTGTTTTAATCTTCGTGAATCTACGCGAAGAGGAACTAAAATTAACTAAGAAAACAGAGGCTAAACACTTTTCGAAATTAAAAATACCGCATACGATCTTAATTTTTTGCGGAAATATATTTTGGCGCAATCAAATATTTGAACGGAAATAATTTTGGAAGAATTAACGTTTTCGAAAATGAAGATTTGGCCCGAATGTTAACGCGGCATACATTCAAATTTATCACTATTGTGTGCTATTTTAACTCTGGCTCCAGCGATTGGATCATTTGTGAAAAAACATTTTCTTGAAGCTAAAATCCTGGGTAAAACCAGCCTCGCAGAAATACTGTTTTCGTGACTGCATTTGCGCAAAATTCCGTTCTTACAAAAATACAAAGCTTGCAATCCTATGAAAATTACAGCAACATAACTGAAGTTAGGCTACATATATATTATTTTGATATCAGTGTTGAATCAAGCATATAATTCACGATATTTGTATCAATCAGCTGTCATGAATATCAGTCTTCAAATAACTATCAAGCACTCAAGTAAGGTTGATTCATCCACACTGATAAGTGAATCGAGATAAAATTACTTAGTAAATAGGATGCGCACAAAGTATTTACATTCAAGCATACATAGTTTATTTTAATTCCCCAGTTTACAAAAATTGACAGCCCACATGTACTGCACAACTGTTTATATATTTTTCATGATTTGTTTTCGACAATCAAGGAAGTTTAATTCAGTCTTGTATAATTTGTCTCGCGATCAACTCTTTCATTATCTCATTGCTTCCTGCGTATATTGCCTGTAAACGAGCATCTACATATGCTTTAGCCATGGGATATTCCCACATGTACCCGGCTCCACCGAACATTTGTAAAAATCTGTAAGCTGACGTATTGGCGAGATGAGAAGCACGATATTTTGCCATGGATGCAGTCGATGTGTCCAGTTTTCTCATATTATGCAATTCGTTGCATTGGTCAATAAATGCGCGAACGACACTTATTTCGGTTTTCAATTCCGCCAAACTATGCTGAATTGTTTGCAAGTCTGCGATGCGTCTTCCGAATGCCTTCCTCTGCTTTACATAATCTCTAGTGGCTTCAAACATAAATTCACACAAAGCAATGGAAAAATTAGCAACGCCTAATCTTTCTTGAGGCAACTCCTGCATCATTATATAGAATCCCTTATTCAATCCAGCTTCACCTCCTAAAAGGGCACTCGCGGGTACTCGGCAATCTTCAAAAAACAATTCCGCTGTATCCTGAGCTTTGAATCCCATCTTTTTCAATTTTTGTCCCCTCACAAATCCGGGAGAATCCCTCTCTATAATAAACAAACTTATTCCATGTGCATTCGACTTAGCTTGTTTGTTTGTTATTGCTACTACGAGGATGACATCCGCTTGGAATCCGTTAGTTATAAATGTTTTACTACCGTTTATGATCCAGTCACCACCATCTCTTCTTGCGTTAGTTCTAATTCCTTGAAGATCACTCCCTGCCCCTGGCTCAGTCATTCCAATTGCGCAAATCTTCCTTCCTGCTGTCATATCGGGTATGTATTTCTCAATTTGTTCCAATGTGCCATGATTCGAGAAGTATGGCACGGCGATATCTGAATGCAACATGTATCCTGGGCCGGAGCAATTTGCATAATATTGTTCTTCTTGTACAATTGCAGCTGATAGCCAATCTCCTCCAATTCCCCCTTTTTCCGCAGGAATATTTACATTAAGTATTCCAGCTTCCCCCGCTTTTATCCAACATTCTCGGTCGACCTCTCCATCTTCTTCCCATTTTTCATGATATGGAATAATGTGCTCCCGGAAAAACTTGCGTACAGTTCCACGGAATATGTCATGCTCGGCCTGAAAGATTCTTCTTGTACCAATGTCTGTCAGTTTATCACTTTGACATGGCTCTAGTCTATGATTTGTTGAAGCAAACCTGGCGAAAATCGTTGTTGATATGTATCGTTGCGCTCCGAGAATATTTTTGGACAACACACGGGCCATTACCACAATGAGTCGCCGAAGAATGTTTCATCAATAGCTCGATTATATAGAACGTTGCGTAATAAAATCGCTTACCGAATGTTTGCGAATGCTCAAACATCACAAAACGAGAGTTTAAACAATGATAAGCGCAATCTGTTAATCTTTACCTAACAACCAGCGCAATTCAACAGAGCACACTTTAAAAAAACAGTTGCAAATATTACACTGTCTCGTCTTAATTCTTCTTTTCCCAACTAGCGATAACTTATTAATAATAAATTAGTAAACTTATAAACAAATCACTGATACGTACAGGCTCTATTTTTGGGGATATTATGTTTATACATACTGTGTACCAATCGCTGTTTTTGGCATAAGTATCAACCGTATGACAGAGAAAGATATAAAACACTGAATAAACAGGTTGCGAAATAAAGTAAATAAAGTTGCGAAATTATAAATTCTCCTGGGTTGTGATATTTGTCAGATGGCAAAGTCAGGTATTATTCATTCGTTAAGGTCGAGTACAGAAAGTTTCAAATTATTATTGATTTTCTTAATTTAAAAGATCGACTGTTGAAAAACGGTTGGTTGCTCTCGGTGGATACGTCATAAACTTGACGGGAAGAATTACGGAAAAGGAACATAATGGTAAGTCGTACATGGCCTTACGAGTTGGGAAATTACTATGTATCACCTAAGTGAAAGGTTATTGTTTTTGCGCATAGCATGCAAAAGTGGCAGACAAGTACAAAGTTCATGAATTTCTTTGCAGTAAAAATATATAATAACACGCAGGCAGAATAAATAAAACTTGTAGCAATGTACTCGTCTTATTCAGAATGAAAACTCTCACACAAAAAAATACGGATATAAAAAAAATACACCAAATATGTATATACACCTCTAAACGCCTGATAGAGAGGAAAAGTTGTATACGAATTATACAACATTGAAATGATATAGATATTGAAAAGGTTCCAACGATGTACAATCACTTCCAGTATGATACTCCTAGAAACTTGCAAATAGATGAAGTTGAGATAAAGAAGTGAAATATTTGACTGGATATTCCATTTCTCGGAATTTACTACATGAAAAGCGGAAATAATCGTCTGAACTATAGCGCAATTGGAATTCGTTTTGGCGGGCACCGCTTTGATTCCACGCTTTGGTATGTTAACGAGGCGTACCATTGGTAGATGTGTAAACTGGGCTCCCGTGTCTCAGATGCATAATGTTTCCATTCTTGTCGCACTAGGTGACTATGGACACACTTCGCGCGTATAATGACAACAACTTTTTTAGGCTGACTGTGTCTTAATTGAGTAGAGATAACTGTCGAGTATGATCCTTTTTCGTTACTACAGTAAGTCAATTTCTCCCATTCGTTCAATTTCAAAGAGGGGGTCCAATAAAGAGTTTTTGTAGCGGTGGTAAAAATGGAACTTCGTTGGAAGAGCATATTTAAAAAAGGGATAGCCCTAATTATATCGAAATCTTTTTAAAATAATTAGTCATTCAAAAGGAGGGTAGCATTTTCAGAAGGACACAACCTTGTTGTGTTAGTAGGAATATCGCCTTTTTTCAAGGGGCGTGTTTTTTAAAACAGGCATAGGTTTATACCGTACAAAACAAGGCATATATATAACCAGTGGTGGGATTCAAATTTTTCGTCAGCCGGTTCTATCACAAAAATCATATGTTTCAGCCGGTACTGTTACAAAAAGTCATGTTTTTTCAGTAATGCTGACCGGTTCGCTGATTTCATAAATTTCCGTGAGACGGTTCTATAGAACTGGTGCGAAGCGGCTGAATCCCACTACTGCATATAACCCCTTTTATGTAGAGATATCATGTTCATAAAAGCATATATATAGGTGTTTTAGAAAAGCCATGCCCATTTTAGAAAGGGTGTAGCATAGGCATGGCCTTGGAATGGGGAATAGCCTTAGCATTTTCAGATTAGCCATGGTCTCCTTTATAGCGGTCATTTGGAAAGAAACATTATTTTTTAAGAATGGCACAATCTATTTAAAATGACTTTCGTCTTTTAGAAGGACCATATCCATTTTACAAGAGACGTAGAATATTCCGAAGATGTGTAGCGTAAAGCGTTGTCCCATTATCTTCGTACCCACATACATTGTACCCGTAAACTGCATCCGGGACGTTTGCACCCACGTACAATGGAACCAACGGCTATTTGCACTTACGTGCATTTGAACCCATGGATATTTCCACGCACGTATAATCCTGCAGTTTCAGCCACTCAGAACATTTTCACGCCACACCCGCAAAACCTCGAACAAGGCTCGGCAGTGTGGCGCTGTGCAAAGTGTTAGGAACCGGACGAGAGGCCGTGGTTCGCCATCCTATCCTTAAAGCACGCCAACAGTATCATAGACGTCAATATGACGCAACAATGCCAAGTACGAATAAGAATCAAGATTATTCGCGAGTAAAAATGACTGTGGTGCAAATATAAATGAGTGCAAACTTCTATGGTGAAAATATCCATGGGTGCGATTGTAATTTACTGCATATGTCCATGGGTGCAAACATAAGAACACCACGACATACAAAACTGTAAACAGTATACTTATAGGTATAGCAGCAGTTACCGAAAGGAAAGAGAGCAACACGACTTTGCGACAACGGTATTTAACTGTAAATAAGCGCAACATCTGGATGATTCATTAGGCACAACATTTTAACAGCACCGTGTCGTTATTCGGGCTGGGCACTTTCGAATACCTGATGATTTCAGAATCGAATCGAATATTTTTTTCGAATCGAATCTCGAATACTTAGGTGATATAAAATTGTATGTAACTTTCTTATTATATTAGGTCTTCCAGACACATAAATTACTGAAAACATCACTCAGGCAGATTACTGAGCGTTCACACACAATAAAAAAACACGTTTTCATCAATAACTCACTACAGAAAAGAGTTATATGTCACAATTGCGTTGAAAAAAATATGGCTTCAATAAAAAAAATTGAGAAATTTACCTCGACCATTGTCGGAAAGAAAAAAACAAGATGGCGGCGATTCGAAATTTTGCTTTGAACCGATTCGAATTATTTACTATTCGATTCGAAATGCCCAGCCCTAGTCATTATATTTCAACAAATGTCGGCGGCAATCTTAATCATGGTAGGGAAGTCACTAATTCTCCTCAAGTCTGTCAAAATGAGGAAAACTTCTGCGTTTGTGTTTTGCATAATCATTCAGGAGGAAATTATGTTTTTTTGCACGGTTACTTATGCCAACTTCTTCGTATAAAACACTGCCCATTTCATTGTGCTTTTCCCGAACGGCTAATAAAAAACGATTTACTTGATTGTTATGTTCTTAACAATTAAATATTGAACATGGAGTGCTGTTTAAAACTGATTTGACTCGCCACAAGGTTCCAGTTCTGAACCTACACATTTTTAAAACCCTATTCAGGGTCGAAAACACTTCCGATGAATAAATAGCAATAACGAAAATATCACCTAGTATTCAAAATCCCATTGGTGCCTGAGACCTTTCCACATTCACGCAAACAAGACTGTACCAGTATGGAACTCTTTGTTAATATGAAACTCCCGTAGAAACAGATGAGGTCAACAAAAATAATATAAATTATATCAGGCCTAAGGTCACATTTGTGCAAGGTATCATGTTTTAAGTTTCATGTGTATATTATGATAAAGGTATCGCATTGTAGAACAAAGTAGAAATGTGTATAGTGTATGCAATAATAGTGAATGATTACAAAAAAATTTAATCCAATTTTGAAAAATAATATTAATAATAAATACATGTCAAAAACACAAAGTTGGAGGAACCACTTTTTTGTTTAAACAAAAATTATCTTGACTAATACTCTTTTAAATGCAATATATTGTACAGTAGTCTCTTTAGTCCTTCACTATTTGCCTCGCAATAAGCTCTTTCATAATTTCATTGCTTCCACCATAGATTGTTTGTACTCGTGCATCAACATAAGCTTTGGCAATAGGGTATTCCCACATGAAGCCCCAGCCACCAAACATTTGAAGGAACCTATATGCGGCAGTGTTATTTAGATCAGTGACCCAGTACTTTGCCATGGAAGCTGTTGAAGAATCTAGTTTTCCTACATTGTGCAATTCATTACATCTATCAGTGAAGGCACGTGCAACCGCAATTTCTGTTTTCAATTCAGCTAATTTGTGTTGAATAGTTTGAAGATCTGCGATTCGGCGACCGAAAGCTTTTCTTTGCTTCACATAATCTCTAGTCTCCTCAAACATGAATTCACAAGCTCCCATGCACAGGTTTGCGATGAGTAAACGTTCTTGTGGCAGTTCTTGCATTAGCATATAAAAACCTTTGTTTATTCCTGCTTCTCCACCTAAAATAGCACTGGATGGCACTCGACAATCTTCAAAAAATAGTTCAGCAGTATCTTGTGCTTTCAAACCAATTTTTTTTAACTTTTTACCCTTTTTGAAGCCTGGAGCATCACCGTCAACAAGAAATAAACTGATTCCATGAGCTGCAGATTTTGCATCCCTGTCAGTGATTGCAACTACAATGACAACATCTGAATGCCATCCATTTGTGATGAAAGTCTTACTTCCATTTATAATCCAATCATCACCATCTCTTTTTGCATTTGTACGAACACCCTGTAAATCACTGCCAGCTCCAGGTTCTGTCATTGCAATAGCCCCAATCTTCTTTCCTGCTGTCATTTCTGGAATATACTTTTCTATTTGTTCTTTTGTGCCATAATTTACGATGTAGGGCATCACTATATCAGAATGTAGAGCAAATCCAGGACCGGAACAGTTCGTATATGCCTGCTCCTCATGAACAATAGCTGCTGACAGCCAGTCTCCACCTATGCCTCCTTTCTCGGCAGGGATTGCAACTCCGAGTAATCCAGCTTCACCCGCTTTCTCCCAGCATTCACGACTAACTTCTCCAGCTTCCTCCCACTTCTCATGAAATGGAGCAACTTGTTCCTGAAAAAAACGACGAGCAGATTCTCTGAACATATCGTGTTCACTTTCAAAAATTCTTCTGAGTCCAATATCTGTCATTCGCCCACTCTGACACGGTTCTGGTCTCATTATATCAGATGAATATGCCTTCGTGGTAGATAAAAGTCGTACTGTTTGATGTTTTGGATAACGCAGCAATGGTTTCCATAATTTGAGAAGTTGTGCCATGTTTTGTGTGAAAATAATTATGAATATGTAATGAACTAATTTTATAACTGCAAGTGTTAGAAATATTTGATAAAACTATTCTTCTGTTAGACTCACTAGCACTCCTGCACTAAGAATGAGTGATTTAATACTCAGACTCAACTGTATGCACAAGATCAACTTTTGTGTTGGAAGTAACCACTACATATTACTGTATTAGGGTATACTTGCACAATACTGCAGTATGTCTGCAGACAGGAGATAATTACTAGAAAGGCTGGTTTCTGGGTTTGAAATCACAATGGCTCCAGTGCCATAAATGTCGTTTAATACAGTAATATGACCTAGAAACAACAGCCCAAATGCAGTTTTACGGCAGAGGCAATCAAATTTCGACATACAGACATACCGCAAGGGTTTTAGATATAAAAATTAAACTTTTATATAAGTATAAGTTTACTTCGACTCCATAATCAGCAATAGAGCTAAAATTATCGATAAAAACAAAATAAATAAGACTGATCATCGAATCGGGAAAGCAAACAAAACCTCAAGTAAAGTTTAAAGCGTACAGATTTTAGGCGGGAAGGTAGCCCTATTGAAAAACGAAATAAGGTAGTACACGTTCGCTCACTTACTTCGCTTAATCAACGTTATACAAATTTGACAACGTCTTCATGATTCTGGATCGGGTCTCTCTAAAACCAGGCACATGAGAATTCAGGCACTCTAATATTTTTACCATACGTCACCACGGTTTTCAATTGACTTGACAAAAAAATTAGACTTTAAATAAACTTTTGCATCCCTATATTGCAATAAAACAATATTATTTCAAATTTATTAGGGTATAATTGATTTTTCAATAGTAAAATGTGGCAACATTGATTACAAAATATAGATATCAGGCACTTGTAAAATTTCAGGCACTTGGTCAAAACCTATTTTACAATGTATCTGAATACTTTAAAGTGAAAAAATAAAATATACACACTTTGTATGATTGAATTTACAAGATTTTTGTAAAATACAACACCGTTTGTGACTGACAGACTGATGGAGTCGGAGACGTGTCATACGGTACCGTATTTCGCAAGTGCCTGATTTTGCATGTATAGTACCGTTTCTAGACAGTTGGAAAAATATTTCTTTCTGATTTCCATAGTACAGCACCTATTAATTGCAAACACCTTAGTCCAGTCATATGGAAGAATTATCGTGCATAGGCTGCCACACGATGCACAAACGACAGAATGGAGCCTGGAGATGGCCAAAGGTTTGGCCAAAGGTCGAGTGATAAGAATTTGAAGCTGACGAAACAGCCGCATGGTTGCACTATGGAGCCAACACGATTTATTATAAATTTGTTCATAAGCAAAACTTCTAGAAAGAAAATAAAACGTCATTTTTCGTGCAAAAATTTGTGACTCAATATCAATATGAGCTATAAAAATTCATATCGAGATTTTGATCGCGGAAATTTTTGGTTTGGCGTTTTTGTTGTTTAGTGTTCAAAAACAAGTTCTGAAATGTGGTATATATCAAGTATAATGAGTTGAGAGAAATTTATTTTTTCACAAAACATCATTAACTAGTATATATACAATACATGGAACATTAAAGTTCAAATAATATCAAATAATAAATAAAAAATGATGGGTCGAGGTGATTGTGATAGAGCGGACTGGCTATGGCTAGGTTCTGGTCGTGATTCAATAGAATCACTACCATAACTTCCACTGTACTTTTCATCCGTGTTAATAACATTCAATTTATCGACATCTTCAAATGATGAATAACTTGAATCAAGTGAATCAAAAAAATTTGATGGCATTGAGGTCATGTTGAATAATTATAATAAATAAATAATTATAGAATACACATTCAAAGCTTATTGGACAGTTGTAAATATAGCTAGGTGTGTTGGGTTAATTCTTATCATGGTTTATATATTAATATTTATAGATAGAGAGTCAATTTGAGTACTTGGACAATAAATTTTTTTCCTGTAGAATAGATCAGAATAGTATTTTTCAGATTCAGTTGGTACATTATTTCACTATGGGACACCTTTATATTATATTCTGTGTATTTTCCAGACTTCAAGTAAATTTTGATAATTGTACTATCATGTAAAAATTTCATGTCGCTAAAATTTTCCACAATTATCCGAAAAGGACTTAATTGCAACGTTTTTGAATCACTAGCAATCCTGTAAATTATTGTTGACCACTAATTTCACCTTAACATGAAATCAAAATGCTTGGGTAGTGTATTGGCGATTTTTTAATATCTCGGCATACTCTACAAAAACACAATTAAATTGGATCCCATTGTTTGGCACATGCCATGCGAGGCGATTATTGGTACATCGTGTTAAGCGTTGTCGTGTTTACATCATTTTAAAAGCTATATTCTCAACAGAAATAAATACATCACACCGAGCGTGCTACTTTTCGTGGAGTATTTTTTTATGGTCCTACACACTAAGCAACATCAGTTTGTGTGATACTTGATGTATTTCACCTTCTGCAGACTTACCTTCTACACCAGGGGTCGACAACCTTTTGTCGCTCGCGGGCCAAAATTAAAGGTTGCAAGTCATTGACGTTTTTATAATAAAAATCAAGTAGTGATACATCTCTCGAATAGAATATATATAGATTTATTTTTTCATTGCATTTTTTTCAAATATTTTCGGCGCCATTGAACCCTTCGCACTCAGCATCAACTTTTCTGCGTTTTGTTGCCATTTGTCTAATTATAACTAAATTATAGGCTCATTAAACTAGTAATTGTTAATTTTATACTTGTTTATAATATATAAAATTTAGTCTACACGTGCCTCACAATAAATTCTGTTAGCTGTTATGTTACTATAATTCAATGAAGCGTCGCGGGCCGGATTATATTACACCGCGGGTAGTAGGTTGCCAACCCCTGTTATATATCATCACACGTATATATTTAATTACTTATCGATCTTGATGGGTAAGTATGTTGATAGGTATTTGTCATTTCCTTTTTTATTTATCCAATTTTATCGCTGATGCTAGATCTGAATAATTACTTGTATACAGCATACAAACATGGGTCAGTAGCTTCGATGACCTAACTGGTCTACCATATTGACTCTCACAAATAATTGGCAACCAATTATTACTGGAATAATGTCTGTTTCAAATCAAATTTATTATAGTGTTGACTTTGTTTGTGATAAATGAATCTCATTCTCTCAGACATGTTCTGAGTGGACAAGAGAGCAATGCTTAATTAGGGATACGAAGACGAAAACGAAGCAGTATATATCAAATCAAAGGCCAGTTTATTGCAAAAGTATAATATGGAATAAGATCCACTATAAACTCTTTACCTAATGTTATTTACAGTCTTTTCTAAAGCATTATATGCACTCTAACGTATTCAAAGTTTGTTTCTACCGCTCAACCACGTCAAATTATTAACTTAGATATAACTTGTTACAGATATATTTGTATTGCTAAATATACGATAAGGAACATGCTTGCGGCAAGTATCGGAAAGAGCATAATCGCACATCGTTGGCAAACATGCCTGCGTACTTTGTTTACAACAAAATTGATGAACGAAAAAGAACACTTTCGACGAGAACCCTATCAATCTGGCAAACTCACCGATATTGGAACACGAAGGATATTCAGCAGTGAACACGATATATTTAGAGAATCCGTGCGGAGATTTTTTAATGAACACGTCGTCCCAAATACGGTAAAATGGGAAGAAGCAGGTCAAGTAGATCGTGAATGTTGGACCAAGGCTGGTGAAGCCGGTTTGCTAGCTGTCAGTATTCCTGAAGACAAAGGCGGACTGGGAGGAGACTGGCTGTCCAGCGTGATAGTTCAAGAAGAGCAGTGTTATTGCAATTCTACTGGTCCTGGATATTTGTTGCACTCTGATATTATGATGCCATATATAGCGAAATATGGCACAAAGGAGCAAATTTCAAAATATATGCCTGACTTGACAGCTGGAAGAAATATTGGTGCTATTGCGATGACTGAGCCCAATGCTGGAAGTGATCTTCAAGGTATTCGAACTACCGCCAAAAGAGATGGTGATGAATGGGTTATAAATGGAAGTAAAACATTCATCACAAACGGATATCTATCCGATGTTGTAATCGTAGCTGCCTTGACTGATACAAACGCAAAATCTGCGGCACATGGACTAACTCTGTTTATCGTGGACAAAAATTCGCCAGGTTTCAAGAAGGGAAGAATACTCAAAAAATTAGGATTGAAAGGACAAGATACGTGTGAATTATTTTTTGAAGATTGCAGAGTTCCATTTGATGCCGTATTGGGAGGAGAGGCAGGATTGAATAAAGGTTTTCAGACTTTGATGCGTGAGCTTCCCCAAGAGAGATTGCTTATAGCAAATGTGTCCATAGCAGCCAGCGAATTTATGTTCGAAGAAACAAGAGAATATGTCAAACAAAGAAAAGCATTCGGTCGGCGAATCGCGGATTTACAAACCATTCAGCATAAACTGGCCGAACTCAAGACCGAAATCGCTGCAACACGAGCTTTTGTCGACCAATGCAATGAGCTTCACAATGTCGGAAAACTGGATAATTCAACGGCATCAATGGCAAAGTATTGGGCATCCGAAAAAGTTAATTTTCAAGCGTACGATTTTGTACAAATGTTTGGAGGAGCTGGCTATATGTGGGAATACCCTCTGGCGAAAACTTATGTTGACGTTCGTGTACATCCTATTTACGGAGGCAGCAACGAAATTATGAAGGAATTAATCAGCAGGCAGATTGTGGAAGAATAGGACCCGCGCTAATTTTTGTTTAAAATCAATTGCTTAGAAAATCATTTATATAAAATGTAATGTGTTGTTTCACTTCATTAGCAAAACATTCCTCAAAAGGTATTTTTAAGCTAGATTGAGGATCAATTAATTGATCGATTCTACTACCTAATATCGTATTCATCTCGACAATGCTTTATATTGTGTGCTTTTTGTGTATAGGAAATCGTTAACTTTCCGATCCTAGCCGCCCACATAAATTTAATTTGTTGAATGCTTACTTTTGATTAGTATCATGTAACATTTTTGAGAACCATTTTGTCCACGAACGTGACACGAAGATGTTATCAATATATCTTGTGTAATTTTTTCTTGTCTTGAAGTGGTGCGCGGGGCTCTCAGAGTCAACCAACGCATCGGGTTCGTCCAAATACTGTAATATAATAATTTTATATATAAGTGGGTTTTACGCCGACATGAAAAGTCACAAAAATTTCGATGTATAAAGTCAAAACGTCAATTTTTTGAGAATTTGCAATAATATAAAATCCCCTGAATTACTAACAAACCGGTTAAGTATTAAAAAATAATATATTAAAAATAGTAAAATAATCACTTGTGCAAAAATGTCAAGTTGAAAGATAGTATATATTTGTTGTCTTTACTTCAAAATATGCAAACCTAACATAATCAAATACTTCAGCCCCAAATATATAAGAAAGCTCGAAGTCGAAAATATTTATTGGGCAAGAAGTAGACATATGGGTGGTTTTGCTAAATTTTCGTTGTTGTTGTTGTAGTAACTATTGTTGTTAAAGAACCGGGTCTCGTGTAGTTTCGTACCACAATATTTTCTAGTAGGCATGACGTAAACATTTTTGCAGGTTTTTGTAATAAGGGTTTCGAAATATACGCATAAGGATTTTAATTCTAACAAAGAGTCATTGAAAACTGTACTTAGATGCTTATAGTTGTCAGTAGTCCGAAGATTGCCTACTTCTTTGTGCAGTGCCTGATCTTGTTTCTAATGTATATTTCCTATACCCACCAATGTTCTTCTACTGTCTGAATGTAACCTCTTTTATTTTTTCAATTCAGTAGAAAGTTGTATTTCATTTACTGTTTATGCTTCGTTTTGTCATATTCTGACTATTTATCATATATATTAGCTTCGCAGAATGCAATATCGGTACTCCATTTTACATATGTTTATTAATCCAGTAATCTTTTATCAACTGCTTTCAACATAGAATTAACTACTAAATGGCAATCTTGGGTGCTAGACACGTTATATGATTGTGTATTTTTAAATCAATTTATTAAAATTTATTTATGTGTCTTTTGCTGCTGTAATTCGGCAACAAGGTATCGCTGAATAGATGACCCGCTAGGTTTTTCACGACCCGTAGCCAACTGCTAAGAGTTAATGTTTTCCGTTTTGTATTTTATTCCGTATGTGCTTTATTGCGTATATTATTCTTGCATGATGGAAATAAATATTTTAATTTCCCCCAACTACCGCACTAATCGATTTCAATTTTTTTAGTACTTAAAAATAGAAGAAGTAGAAGGCTGTATTTTTTGAAATTTGTATGGGATCTGGCATTTCACAAAAAATGCAGGTGTTGTTATTTATTAAATTAGAAAAATGTTAATTCTATATTGCTTATCGGTCGCCCTTTTAGCAGAATCCGATGCGTGACTTTCGTTTCCATATATTTGATAATTGCTTTCCCGTTAACTCCAATATTACAGTTCATCGCAAGTTAGTTGGGCTGCTAATCGGTGGTCTCATCGCCATTTTGACAACCGTTTTAAAACAAAGAGAGCACTGGGTCGTCATGCAGTTTCAAGGGCATTTGCTTACAACCTTTCGACGAGTTTTCGACACAAGTTAACCTGGCAGATCCTAACAGAAAATTTGAGCGAGGCCCATAAATTGTAGTTTAGTCTGATTCCATAGATCAGTGGTTTCAACTTTCGAGGGTCGTATGAAGCGTACCTCTCGCTTTTGGTAGCTAGAGACTTCGAACTTGCTTGAACTTGGATAACTTTTAAGGCTCAGTTCTTGGCCTAAACGCTCTATAATATATATTTACTTTTCATAGCATATTTTTTCTATAGTTGTGTAAACTGATTACAGCATTTTCCTGAAACGAATGGACGAATATAGCTACTACTGTACTAGAGAAACAGTGTTTGTTGTCAACTTTCTCATCTGTTCTTTTTTGCAGTATAGTGAGGGAACGCGCTTTTGATTGAAACAAACTTGCCCAAAACACCAATTTTTGTTGTGTTGGTAATGCGATATGAATATGACAACATTAGCTGCACTAAGAGCAATACAAGTATATAGAAAATGTTAATATAATATACATAATAACGAATAAACCTAATATCGTTCCAATTATATAATTCCTATCTGAGAACCATTTGGTAATGTACGGCATAACCAGAAAGTAGGTAAGCCCATCAACAATAAAATCTATAGTCGCACAGCAACTCCCTAATCCGTAAAGTACAACGGGCGTCTACCCGGGTTGCCAGATCCCAACGATCTAAAAAAGGCAGAAAAAGCCAACAAATTTACCAAGTACAAAGGCCCCATGATTTGTCTGATTTTAGGCCCTTGGCACAACACTGATGATGATGTAGAGCCATCCAGTGAGCCGCACAAATGTCTTTTTCCATTGAAAGTTGTTTTTCGGTTGCTATCATTTCCACTTCAGCGGGTTGAAGGGTTCATAAGTAAAAATGATTAACTGAATGGCAGCACCAGAATCTACATTCAACACAATACAGTCAAGCTGACATCTATATGAAACAGTTTAAAAAAAAATGAAAAACAAGAGAGCAATGCTCAAATATATGGACACGCAAAACGATTCCCCAAAAATCATATGCGGTGACTTACCAGTACCTTTATTATGGTGGCCCATCGTTGTCACGCGTAAAATTGAAAATAAAAAACCGAAAATAAAAAAATTGTTGTAAAAAAACATAAAAATAATTAGTAAAAAAATGAAAAAAAAAATAAAATTAAAAAAAAAATAAATAAATGAAAACGAAAAAAAAAACAAAAAAAAATTAAAAAAAAAAAAAAGTAAAAAAAAAAAAAAATTGAATACAAAGAGAATAAAAAGGTTGACAACGATGGTCCGCCTCGTGGCCCATCGTTGTCACGCGTTTTTATTTTTAGAAAATTTGCTTCTGCTTGGGACCAACGTTGTCAGGCATAATCCTACGCGCACAAATGTGTTCCCTGGGTTTCAAACTCACTACTGACTTTCTTGAGCAATATTCAATATGAAAATGTTTAATAAATTCTTCATGCTACAAGTTCAACAAGAAGTAATATATTTATAATAATGATAAGAGAATATAGAATTGAATACGAAAATTCGGAAAATTTGTTTTTACGTGTATAAGGTAATTTAATTGGAGAATGCTGCTTAACTACCCAGTTGTCTGGACACTCGCGATGCCGGTACCGTACCGTCTTACCAAATACCGGTAATCGGTTATAGTCGCTTTGCGTCTGACCGTACCGGTAGCCATACAATCACTCATGAAAGAATGGGAGATACGGATAGTCTCGTAGAATATAGACTACTGAAACACTCTCTGCGCCTGCCCCATACCGTACAGCCGTAACATACCGATCCAGACAAATGATAAATCGCCCGTGCTCAACCATTCATTTCAATCCATACCTCGATCCTAGTAGAATATAGTGAGTCGAGGTATGGATTGAAATAAATGGTTGAGCACAGGCGATTTATCATTTGTCTGGATCGGTACGTTACGGCTGTACGGTATGGGGCAGGCGCAGAGAGTGTTTCAGTTGACTATATTCTACGAGACTATCCGTATCTCCCATTCTTTCACGAGTGATTGCATGGGTACCGGGTACGGTCAGACGGTACCGTACCGGCATCGCACGAGTGTCTCAGCAGTTAAGCAGCATTTTCCAATTAAATTACCTTCTACACGTAAAAACAAATTTTCGTATCCAATTCTATATTCTCTTATCATTATTATAAATATATTGCTTGTGGTTGAACTTGTAGCAGGGAGAATTTATAGAACATTTTCATGTTGAATTTATTGGATATTGCTCATGAAAATCAGTAGTGAGTTAGAAACCCAGGAAACACATTTGTGCGTGTAGGATTAGGCCTGACAACGTTGGTCCCAAGCAGCATCAAATTTTCCAAAAATAAAAACGCGTGACAACGATGGGCCACGAGGCGGACCATCGTTGTCAACCTTTTTATTTTCTTTTATCAAATTTTTTTTTTCAATTTTTTTTTTTTTTAATTTAATTTTTTTTTAATTTTTTTTGTTTTTGTTTTATTTTTCAATTTTTTTTTTCATTTCATTTTTTTTTATTTCTTTTTTTTCCATTATTTTTATGTTTTTTCACAACTATTTTTTATTTTCGCTTTTTCATTTCATTTTTTTTTTAAATTTTACACGTGACAACGATGGGCCACCATACTGTATAAACAAAGCACCACATCACAGCAATCAGAAAGACAAAATCACGGTGGTCGCAAATTGGTTGACAAAGATATTATCGACGTATCGGAAATGCGCAACCCCCTATTCCCCCTCGTTTAAATGTAAAAACGCAGAACCTTCAAAGATGGTTAAAAGAAACACAACTCTACTACCCACCTGCCAAGTTTCATTTTTTTATCTCTTATATTTGTATGGATTTTCAAGCTTTTGACAGCTACGAGTTAGTTCAGTTTCACCGCGCTGTGTTACAGTACCAGAACTTCTCTATCTTTGAAAACATTGGGCTTTTAATTGCATTTCTGACCGTCATATATTTTAAGAACACGGTTATTTAGAACAAAACTCGTCAAATTATAAACAAAGCACCACATCACAGCAATCAAACAGACAAAACCACGGTGGTCGCGAATTGGTTGACAAAGATATTTTCGACGTATTGGAAATGCGCACATGTTCCCCCTCCTTTGAATGTAGAAACGCGAAGCCTTCAAATTTGGGTAAAAGAAACACAATTCTACCCACCTGCCAAGTTTCATCTTCTTATCTCTTATATTTGTATGGATTTTCAAGCTTTTGACAGCTACGAGTTAGTTCAGTGTCACCACGCTGTGTTACGGTACCAGAACTTCTCTATCTTTAAAAACATTGGGCTTCTAATTGCATTTCTGACCGTCATATATTTTAAGAACACGGTTATTTGAACAAAACTCGTCAAATTATAAACAAAGCATCACATCACATCAATCAAACAGACAAAAACACGGTGGTCGCAAATTGGTTTACAATCATATTATCGACGTATTGGAAATGCGCACCCCCCTATTCCCCCTC